GTGCCATTTACCACCATGCTTGTGCAAACACTGAGCCAGTGCCACCATGTCCTAACTTGTAGGGACGTGGCAAAGATTAAAAGGGTCGGCAATCATAAAGTGCTTAGAAAGTGCCTGACCAATAGTGAGGCCCAATAGGAGTTCGCCGCCATCGCCGTACTGACCTGCGAAGTATTTCTCTGATCCCAACTCTCTATAAAAGTCAGGAAAATGAACCTGATTCACATATTTATTTACCCAGCCCCTGTAGGCGTAAGTATGAGACCCTTCCTTTGTACCTGTTAAAGCCAGAAATCTAGAGTTTTGTGTGAAATCTCTTGATTTTTAAATGTTGTCCTACATCTTTAAGAATCACTTTGAGAGGGCGCCTGGGTGGCTCAGTCGGTTAAGCGACTGCCTTCGGCTCAGGTCATGATCCTGGAGTCACGGGATCAAGTCCCGCATCGGGCTCCCTGCTCAGCGAGGAGCCTGCTTCTCCCTCTAACCCTCCCCCCTCTCATGTACTCTCTCTCTCTCATTCTCACTCTCTCAAAATAAATAAATAAATCTTAAAAAAAAAAAAGAATCACTTTGAGAGCTCAGGGAAGCACATTTTCAGGAAGGCTGGCACAGAAGGTTCAGTATTTTGGTGGTGTGGAAGCTTCCAGCTTCAGGATAGTGTTGGTAGGGAATGACTGTAGAGGCAAGTCAGAGCCTGATAAAGTAAGGGTCGTGATGTGAGGAATTCTGGGAAGAGCACTGCAGAGGTGAGAGATCAAATGTATTCTCCCTCCCAGACCCTCTCCAGTTCCAGGTGGTGGGTTTTTATGTCAGGGGCAGGTGGAACAGGGGATCTCTGCCTCGTTTGCAACATTCTCCCTTCCCCCGTTTCTCACCCACAGTCCCTAGATTACTGAGGACAAGGCTGGACCTAAGAGGGCCATCTCGGCCCTCCTCTCCATCTTGAAGCTATTACAGCGCAGGATGGGGAAAGGCCAGCTCCTCTGGAGAGACGGTCAGCCTCCCTCTACAAAGCTCCCCACTCCTGGAGGGAATGGCTTTAAAGGAACATAAGGGGAGCCTGAGCTGTGTCTCCTGACCCTCCTCACCAACAGGAGTGACCAAAGGAAGCCCACCTTTTCTCCTCCAAGCAGCTTCTGCTGTTCAGAGCCCCCAGTACACAGAAGGGTGAAGTATGAATACAGATTACAGCAATGACTTTCAAACTTTTCCACCACTGCCCACAGTAGGAGCCACAGACCTACCTTTTATATCACTGCCTCTAAAAGAAAATACATACAACTGAAGTTTTGCAAAATAACACATAACTATAAACTATGTGCAATGTACTGATATTCCCTATTCCATTCCCTCACTCTTTTTTCACTTATGGTCTGGGACCCCCTTACATCAATTTTAAAACCCTCTAATGGGTTGCTAACCATGTGTGAAAAACACCTGATTATAGACCGGAGTCCCTAAAACCAGTATTTTCCAAAGACTCTCTTGTATTTCACGTATATGAATAATATCTATGCCTACCACCACTAGTAAACAAGATGACCGTAGGAGAAATGTGGGGAGATATTTTTCTAGTTCTTATTGAGTTCTTTATTAGTTTTTACAGTTTGCTTCCATTTGGAAAGTTATCACTTTCCAAGTGATACTGATTTTTAATTTAGGGAAATGATTTTAAGTTTTCTTCCAAAATAAATGGGTTTAAGAGTGATTTAAGTGAAAATATTGAGTAAATAATAGTACAGGAAATATTCAGGTATGTCAAAACTCACAAATATGTTACTTTTGTAGGAAATATTATCTTGCAACATTCCATAGTGAAATAACCAGAAGGGTACTTTCCCTAACATAGGATCTGCTTTCTCAGAGTGTTACTAATTATTCCCAGGAAATTTAGATTATATGACATTACGTTATATTACATTTGGCATGTCCCTAGCAGCCCCTTAAAACCAAGCCAGTGCTTCTTCCAAATGCTTCTTGGGCAGCTTTGAGTTTGGCATCCATTTGCAAAGTGAATCATGTGGCTCTTGAGAAGCAGGAGCTGGCCTGTCCTTCATCAGATCATCACGTGGTCTTTCTTTCTCTGTCAGGCGTTCAAGTTAATTATTTCCTGTTTCTCTGGGTCTGTTCCTTATGCCCCCCCACCCCTTCCCAGGTCCCTCTACCTTCCCCTCCACACATACGGGCTTGGCCATCGGCAGGCAGCTCTACAGTAAACCCACCTTGGTCTCTCCGCCAGCCCTGGAGGAATCTCCAACAAGAGCCTTGGAATTTACCAGAAGGTAGCAATCTCAGAGCAAAAGTGTGTCATTACTGTGGAACCAGAAGTTACTTTTACTTTAGTTCTCTTCTTTTTAGTATCATTTTTTGTAACTTACTGACCTTTTGTTCTTTTAGCCCCTGCCTGCTAAGGTACTGCGTGAGCCAGTCTGCCCGCTGTTGTTTCCTTTGGGCCCGCTTGGAATCTCTGGCATCAGTTATGCTGTCACTCCTCTCAGGATTCCCACATTGGGCTTGACACTCCCAGCAAACTTGATCTGTTGTTCATGTAACACTGTTGCTGCTGCCGCCCCATCCCTTCCCGTCAAGGCCAGAGTGTGCCCTCCTCCTAACGGCCTTTAACAGTTCAGGGTGCCAGACTGAGCTGAGCTGCACCCCACAGAAGCTTCATGCATAGAAGCCACTCCACTCCTATGGTCTTTGCTTCCTCATCCCCACCTGCATTCCCAGAAATCTTTTCAAACTAGCCTTTTATGGTCATCTGGCTTTAATTTCTCCATATTCTTTATCCAATCCCGACTGAAGTTTTGTCTTAAATCTCTAACTGAGTCTTGTCTACTTTATTCATCATCCTCTCCTCCCAGCCCCACCCCAGTTCTACCCTCCTCTTGTCTCCTCACATGCAAACACCTGAGTTCTTTACCATCTCTCACCTGGTGGACAGCTTCTGGCTATTTCTGGCCCACTACATGAACCCTACATGAACCGTGTGTACATGTGGCATATGTACATATTCAATGTGGGGAGAAGGGGTATAAACACAAAATAGACTGCCCAACGTTATGGGGCGAGGGAGAGCCTGAGAGGCTCCCAGCAGTTCTAGTTAGTATGTTCAGCATATTTCACCCTGTGACCAAATCTGTATCATTTTCAGACATGAAACAGCTTAAACAAAGAAAAGCCTTGATGCTTATTGAGGATTTAGATAACTACTTCCCTGTTAAGAAGAGATTTTTAAAATTGTGTTTTCATTATGACTCCATCTCCATTTATTGATCAAGGGATTTCTTGCCTCACTTAACTCTATCATCTGTTGCTCAGATTAAGAAAATGTGAAAACTATTGTTTGGTAGCATGAGTACAGACTTTAAAGTGATACCTTGGAGGCCAGATGATTCAAATACTATAATCCAAGAAAAGCAACTGATTGATCATGTAGAATGTTGTTTTTTATGCATCGCTCTTTCTTATGGACCGAGCATGCAGTGAAACGAATCAGATTAAATGTTTTGTAGGTGTGCCGTTATAGAAGCAAGAATTTACTAGTATAAAAACACCCAAGAGAAAGCACTAATATGAGATAGGAAATAATACATGTAAAAAGCCCCAAATAAACAAATGTGTAAATCATTATTCATTCAACACATTTCAAGCATCTATTGTATTCTTTGTTAGAGAATGATGCTACTTACAACTTCTCACTTATTAGCAGAAAAAATGCCCCTGATTTTAGTGTTTCCTTTCTTGCATCACTGCTACCTAGTATATTAGCAGCATATATATGCTTTTTGGGTTGTATGACAGATCGTACATTCACTGTTTATCTTTTACCCTATGCTTTGGAACCTTGTGGGCCACTTTTATTCCTCATTAATTCTTCCTCCTAAGGGCTAACCAGGAGGGAAAAGAAGTGAACTTCAGGTCAGTCAGCCTTGCTTAGCTACAGAAGCAGTCAAATCTCAGTACAATGAACTTTTTTTTTAAAAGATTTTATTTATTTGTTTGACAGAGAGAGCACAATCAGGGGGAGCAGCAGGCAGAGGGAGAGGGAGAAGCAGGCTCCCTGCTGAGCAAGGAGCCCTATGGGGGGGCTTGATCCTAGGACGCTGTGATCATGACCTGAGCAGAAGGCAGGCGCTTAATGACTGAGCCACCCAGGCGCCCCTCAGCACAATAGACTTTAAATACCTGTCTAAATTCCTTTGTGTTTTAAGATTTTGTTCCGCCCAAATGATTGAACAGGCCTGACAATTAAAGCTTGGACATCCTGAAGATATCACATATAACGTATGTGATAACTATTAATATATTACATACAATATATGTCTGCATATATGTCAGACAGTATCTGAGGTATCTCTGGAAGATTTTGTAGTAAATTAGAGTGTAAGAGTATGTCTAAAGAGCAAAGGAAAGGGAACACTAATTTGCTCAGTACTTATTACACGAGAGACTCCGAACTGTTAAATTTACACTGCTTATCACTTTTATAGTTTACAGTTTCCCAGAAAAATAGAATAGCATTTTATAGATGTGGAAACTGAGGCTCAGAGATATTCTGACCAGTCTCAGTTTGTGAGGAAAACCCTGGCTAACAGCCTCCAACACACAAGCCCCTTACAAAGGACTGGAGAGTGCTGGCAGCTTTCACTAATCTATGCTGTCCACACTTAACATGGGTAATTGAAAGCTGACCCTGTGTGCCTTTCAAAAATCTCCAAGGAATCTGGCTGCAGAGACTTCATGGATAACTCATTTCAACAGCTGAGAAACAAAATGCTTCTGTGGAATAAAAACAGCCTTTATTTCAGTGGGTTTTTTTTTCTTTCTTAAAAAAAGAGAAAAGGCATCCACCACATACTTAACAAGAACTCTCACAGAACGGACAAGTCTTCAGATTGGGTTGTGCAGATTACCAAGGAAATGGTGACAGCATTAGGGCACTTCGGCCTAAGATGTTAAAGAGACGATGTAATGAACAGCTGGGGATTTCTGAGGCACAATTGTATGACACAGGAAGCCCAACCGTTGGCCATCCTCTCCGAGGGCAGCTGCCGGGCTCGGGTTTGCTTCTGCAAACCTTGTCCCTCGCCCTCGAGCAAGCGGCTGCCGCCAGCTGCCGCAGCACCCGCAGCGGCCCGCGCCTGTCCGCCCCCGCGTGCCTGCCAAGGCCGACGCGGCCCGGATGCGACGGTGCGCTCCCCCCACAACCGCGCACGTGACGGGGGGGGCAGTTTTCCTGTCCCCTCCCCCTTCTCGAAACCCCGCCTTCTCCTGAGAGGCTGCGGCTTTCTATTGCGCCACTACTGGAATGACCGCCGTGCCAGCCAGTCAGAGTGCGACCCTTCAAGTAAGATCCTCCCCCTGTTGGTCCTCAGGTTCCTTCCCGCTCATACAGGAGTCACTTCCGAAGAGATAGAACCGCCATGAAGAGGGAAGGGGGTGCCGCCCAACTCTGCTCCGACAGCCTCCCCGAGTCCCAGCAGCAAGACGGCAACCACGCACCCAACTTCTCCAGCCACAGCTCATGCCGCCGTCGCCAGCGGCGCCGACATGACAAGGCGCTGCATGCCCGCTAGGCCAGGTTTCCCCTCATCCCCAGCCCCGGGGTCGTCGCCCCCGCGCTGCCATCTGAGACCCGGTAGTACCGCCCCTGCTGCAGCGGGAAAGAGAACAAAGAGTCCTGGGGACAGGTACCGTGGAGAGGGCTGGAGAAGGGGCCGGGTCGCGGGGGCAAGGGTATGAGGGAGGACTGCGGACGCCCGCTCTTTCAGTTCCCGCCATCCTCCGCGAGCTCAGGCCTCGGCATTCCGGGGCCTGGCAAACCCCTGCCCCGCCTCCGCGCGGGGGCTTCTGGGACTTCGAGTTTCCTTTTCTGTAGTTGGGACGCAGTTCTCGGTCTAGTGACCACAGCCTGGGTGGCTACGGAGAACCCGCCTTAGGTAGACCGTGATTTTTGTCTTTTACGATAGCTGGACCCGGGGCCCTACCTGCTTAGTGCATATTTAGGTGGTTTTTTGTACGTTGCAGTTCTACTGATCATAGTAGCTTAACAGTATAAATCTTTTCTAAATTGTGGGTGAAATTATGTACGACATGACGAGGAAAACCTTTCCACGAATTACTTTATAGTCCAGTATGCACGATAATTGATACTTGACATGCAGATTTGGAATGTGATATGTTTTTTCCTTCAGTAACTTTCCGCCTCTCCAGGAGGCTAGGTTTTTTGTGAAGATTTTGTGGGAGCTATGTAATAAGATGGGGAGTTTTGACATCCTCTGACAATAAAACATGTTTAAATTCTCTACGCACTTGGTACTGTCTTTTTTATTTTAAGTTTTAAAAGCTTGTAGCAAGTTTAACCGTAAGTTTATCTTCTAATGTGGTACAGGTCCACAATCCCTTATCTTAATTGGGAAAGCCAGAATGCTACGAAAATCAAAAGTTTTCAGTAAGTTTGGCACCACCTCTGACTTGGCAGCCAAACCTGACTAGAACTAATGGAAGGCTGTTTATGGGCTTTATGGCATTAAGTGTGAATATTTGTAAGCTTTGCTGGAGAAATATTGGTGTGTTTGCTTCTGGGGTGCAGTGTCAGACCCCACTGGGGGGCTTTATGTAATGCATCCAAGTTACCCCCTTTCTAAAGTCCAGTAAATTCAAAATTCAAAAATACATTTGACCCCAAAAGTTTCAGATAAGGGCTTGTGAGCTGTTAATAATTTTTAAAAGCTAGTTATAAATAACTAATGAACATTTCTATGCATATGAAATTAGAGAACTGTTCCTACTTGAAAGTTGCATTCATGGTTACTTTACAGATTTCTTGTATGTTTTACCCAAAACCATTTTTCCCTCTGGTGTATTACTCGAAAAGGAGCCTGGAATCTAATATTTTAGGAAAGATACAATGTTACTTTTAGTAACTAATGTAAAGGCATATTTAGTATTGTTTTGAATTAGCTGCTGCTTAATCCTTTCCCATCTCTCAACCAGTAACAGAGGGCATCATCCTTTCCCGATTTGCAGAACCTCTGACATTTTTTCGTTTATTCTGTGGAATTAATTTTGTATGTTTTATGAAAACAAATGCATAAATTATTCCTTAGTCTGTCACTCATACTCATTTCATAACCAGTTAGCTTTTCTACCGACATTTTATAAACATTGTAGACTTTCAGTAAACCATTAAAGACGGGGTGTTGCTCTTCGAACGTGACCTGTGAAGCGTACGAGGGACTTGGATTGTTCAAGTTTTCTCTGAGCATTCCAACCTCATAATGAATAAATGTTTAGGGAAACTGAGTGTACTGCTTCTCTTTCAGTAAAATGAATATGTTTTAGCAGAATTTTGCCAGGAAGTTAATTTTTGCTCTACGTATGATGACATTTCTCTTTATGCAGCTGACAGATAACTCTAAATACATCAGTCCGAATACAAATTCTGGTAATATGGTTCACTTTGTTTTACTGTGCAGAAAGGCGCAGAAATCCTTAAAAATTAAAACAATTTGGTTTTTGTAATTGTTCACTTTCTTCCTTTTCTCTTGTTTCGTGTTTTCCCCAGGCAATATGTTATTTTTGTAAATATCTTAAAGAGTTTTTAGGTAAAAATTAAGATTTTGAAACACTAGTTGTGAAGACTCATTCTAATTTCTGCTGTTTACTTAGATTAACATCTTAACTGTAGTATATAAAGAAGGTAGTATAAGCTTGGCACTTGATCCTTTCTGCCTTTTGGCCAGCGTGCCCTTCAACTCAGCTGCCTCCCCAGCTGGGCCCAATCACTGATATTGCCATTCTACCATCTACTCTTGTTATGAGTCTGTTCAGGTTTTACTGAGTTTTTATAATCTCCATTATTCATTCAGCAGACATCTACTGAGCATTATTTTGTATCTGGAGATACCAAGCAATAGGATCAGATCCCTTCATGTAGCAGTAAACTTTTCCTAGGCAGCACACTGTCAATTCCCTGGATCTGTACTCCTGTCTTATCATTTTAGTACTATAGATTATATAAACCTCAGTTGTGCTTTTATAAATTTGCTCCTACAGGAAATGGTAAATTATATTCTCAGTTTTTTATAATCAGCTTAGCAAAGCATTATTGCCATTGTCAGAACGTGATTAAACCAGGTAGTGAAATCCAATCTATATCCTATAAATCTAGTATTCTCCCCTTAATCTGAATTATTGAGGTTTTAACGTTTGCTTATGTGATACCATATTAGTTATGCTTTTATTTTCAGGAAGCAGTCAATTATAGATTTCTTCAAACCAGCTTCCAAACAAGGTATGTATACTATTAATGCATTTTTTTGCAGGATCTTTTGAAGAGGGAGATGGATTCAATAAATTTCTCTAAGCTCTTACTTGATTAAGCATAATGTTCAAACTGAAAATATAATGAAGATGCAGTGTTTTTTACAAAGATAAGTTCTAAACATCATGAAACTTTTTGCTGTTATTCTTTCTTACATTTAAAATAGTCAATAATGTTCATATTGCATACTATTTTGATTCTCTAATACAGTAACATTTTATAAATGGAGCCATATGAGCTTACAAGATGTAGCAAAAGGGAGCTTTATGGAAGTAAGGCTATTAAATAAATCATGTCTTAATTCCCCCCCATGAAATGTGTATCATCATCTAAATACTGATTCGAAAATTCTTGTGATAGCTTAGTATTTTAAGTATTATTAGTTTAAATAAATATACAAAATGTAATAGTTTGTGTTATTTTTAATAACATGCAATTTGTGTTTTAATTGGCTATTTAGACAGACATATGTTGGATTCTCCACAAAAATCAGACATCAAATATGGAGGAAGTGGATTGTCCATCACTGGGACAGAGCAGTTTGAAAGGAAACTATCCTCACCAAAAAAATCTAAACCCAAAAGGATGCCATCAGAAAAGAGCACTATTTTAGAGGCTTTCATGAAAGGTGTAAAGGAGCACCATAAAGATCGTGGTATGCATGAGTCACGTCGGCCTTGTGTGTCAATAGCCACCAAATATCCAAAGGCGGTTACAAAAGTCTATGTTCCTCCATATTGCTTGTCAAAGGAGATGAAGGCACTGAAGAAAAAACATCGATCTCCAGAGAGAAGGAAGTCACTGTTCATTCATGAAAATAGCAGGGACAAGAATGATAGAGATCGAGACAAGACCAGTGCAGATTCCAAAAAGCAGGCCACAGTGACAGAAACTGACATCTTCAAGAACAGCTCTAGAAGTCTTAGCAGCAGGAGCAGCCTATCCAGGCACCACCCAGGAGAAAGTCCATTGGGGGCTAAATTCCAGTTGTCATTAGCTTCTTACTGCAGAGAAAGAGAACTAAAGAAGTTGAGAAGGGAGCAGATGGAGCAGAGAATCAACTCGGAAAATTCTTTCTCAGAAGCAAGCAATCTTTCCTTAAAATCCTCTAGTATAGAAAGAAAATGTAAACCAAGGCAGGAACAAAGTAAACAGAATGACGTCGCACCTGGAAAGAGTAATCTTTCAAACCTGGTATGTGTAATAATTACTGGATTAGCCTGGCTACTGCTTTATTTAGCATGCTAAATCTAAAAATATTTAATAACCATTAGCATAATACTGGTATCTTTTGTTAAGGAAATACTGATACACAGTTTATTTAAAACCTAATTTCATTACGTTTCTTCTGACTGTCCGTAGGATTCAGTAAAGTAGTGTTTCTTGCCCTTAATTTTTTCAGACCATGAACAAAGACCTTAAGAAAGTAAGCATTCTGTTTTTAGACAAGTATAGTCATTTTTAAATTAGGCTGTGCTGAAGGGAGATACTTAGGGAATGGAAAAATCTAAAACAGGAAGAAATGTTTTAGAACAGCGATTCTTAAAATGTGGTCCCTAGACTAACAACATCAGCATCACCTGGGAACTTAGAAATGCAAATTCTCAGGCCCCGCCCCAGACTCACTGAACCAGAAATTAGAGGTAAGATCAGCAATCTGCAATTAACAAGCCTTCCAGATGATTCTGATATACTTTAAAGTTTTGAGACTCACTGGTTTAGATAGATTATATGAGTCCTAAATAATTTTGAGAATGGGTCTTACACAACTTAGATAATACTTAGAAAGCTATCCAGATACATATAACTTCACATTCTCCCTTGAGAATAGACCAAACCCAGATTAGCATAAAAGCTGACCCTCTCCCCTAGAAAGACAAGTACCTCTGTTTCAAAGAACTTCTCTACATACAGAGCAAATAAAGGAAGATCAGATATCAAGAAAGGGCTATGTTGATAAGATACTATGAGATTTTAAAACCATATAGACCAAAAAAGTAAACCAAACTGACATTTTAGGAGGGAATGGAAAGTGTTGCCATGTATATTGCTAGAAAATGTATTTGTAAACTCCAGGGTTTGTTTGCAAGGAGTTTGGTGTCTTTACCAATGAGATTTGCTAACAGTCAATAGAAGTTAGTAACATTTGGTCCATTCTTATAAGATTTTAGTGTTTGGTTGTACATCAGTACTTGAATTGAAGTATTGGAAAGTCTGTTATGTCCTTTTTTTTTTTTTTAGAGAGATTTTATTTGAGAAAGAGCACAAGTGGTGGGGGGGCAGTGATAGGCAGACTCCCCACTGAGTGGGGAGCCTGACATAGGGCTCAATCCCAGGACCCTGAGCTCATGACCTGAACCAAAGTCAGGCATTTAGAACTGACTGAGCCACCCGGGCACCCCTGAGTTATGTCCATTTAATTGGCAAATATTAGGCTTACTATTTCTTTTTGAAAATAATGATACAGTGCTTAATCTTGAGTTAATATAAAGCTCTAAATTTGCATTATGAAAACTGGCTTTTATTTTTATGACATTTTTACATTTTATGATACAAATGCCCTTCATTTTTATAAAACTTCAAGAGTTTAAAATGTTTTATTATAGAAGTTTGAATTTATCTCCAAATATAAGTGCTTGCTTTAATTGGTCTAGAAATCTGTGTTTAAATGTTATAAAGAAAAGTTTACATTCTTTACTGGCCCCAATTCCTAATTAACTTTTTCTCATTTTGCTAATAGGAAAATGGACATTTCTCAAGGAAAAGATCCTCTTCTGATTCATGGGAACCTGCTTCAGGTAGAATCAAAATTAATTTATTAATTTTTAAATAAAATTGTACCTCAGTGGCACTTTTTTTTTTAAGATTTTATTTATTTGACAGAGAGAGACACAGTGAGAGAGGGAACACACGCAGGGGGAGTGGGAGAGGGAGAAACAGGCTTCCCACTAAGCAGGGAGCCCAATGCAGGGCTCGATCCCAGGACCCTGGAATCATGACCTAAGCCAAAGGCAGACGCTTAACGACTGAGCCACCCAGGTGCCCCATCAGGTGGCACTTTTTTAAAACAAATTGGTTTAAATAATTCAATTTCCTTCCTAGAGGGAAATTGAATATCTCAGATCAGTTAAGAGTTTGGTTAAATTATATTTTAAAAGAATAGTACTTGAATTAGTATGCATAACCTGTAGTTTGTCTTGACTTTTTTGCCTCTTTCAAGAGTTCCTAGCAACACGTTTCTCATTTTGGTATTCAGTGTTCTACTGCTGAATCTTGGCTACAATAAGAAGCATAATCTTACATTATTGGAATTGTGGACTATCTGAGATCTTGGTATTATAGATGCTTTGTATAAGGTTGAAACTGTTATCATGATCCAAAACAGTGTTTCCTAATATTTCAAGTACAAAGATAACCTTTTTAAATACCAAATTTCCAAGGACACCTACATGATATTAATTTGTATTTTTAGTATCTGTTGGTTGAGGAAATACATAATAACAAATAGCTACTGTTAATTCAGTAATTCTTAAAGTATCTTTATCTTTTCTTAACTAGAAAATAGAACAGTATAAAAGTCAAACATTGTAGAAATTCATAACACAGAAAATGAAAGGCTCCCAGAAATAACAACTGTTAATAGTCTGGTGTATCAGATTTTTTTCTGCCATGATTGCAAACTTTGAAAAACGGATTTTACTGATTTCCACACTCAGTAAGATACAGTGGACATAACAATAATAGCCAGCATTTATTGAACAGTGACTGTGTGCCATGCCCTGTTCTTTGTGCTTTTAATTCATTTGATCTTCACATCCTCATAAGATGATTTTAAAGATGAAAAAACAGTGGTACAGAGAGACAGATGTGACTCCTTGTTCTTCAGGTTTCATGTAAGACTCTATTTTTTATATATTCTAGAGGTGCAGTACATTTTGACCAGGTGATCTCAAGTGTTAAAATCATTGTTTAGCCAAGGCTGAAACCATAATCACCATCATAGAGGGAGCTTCTAGATACAGGAATAAATTTGAAGTTTTATGTGGTTTTTAAAATTTTTATTTAATTAATACAGTGTTGTTGATTTTAGTGATCAAATTTCATTGAATGTTGACATTACGAAATACAACAACAATAATTTCTCAGCCACAAAGTTGTTCCTGTACTCACTGTATTACACATTTATAGTAATAAGTGATTTGCAGTGAGGTGAATGGAGGAACAAAGTATTTTTAGTATAAAATATTTTGCTCTGCCAGTAAAAAGGGCTGCTGGTGGTGGTGGTGCCACCAAGCTCTTCAGCTTTTTTTTTTTTTTCTCTAGTAATGACTAAGATAAAAATTCTCTTCAGTTCATAGGTTTGCAGATTTCATCAGTGGTGACTGTAATGTAGTTTCATTTATATAGTTCCACATATTGCAGTTTTTGAACAGTGTTTGAAAAAGATGCTTCCTGGGTGCCTGGGTGACTCAGTCAATTAAGCATCTACCTTTGGCTCAGGTCATGATCTGGAGTCCCAGGATCGAATCCGAATCGGGCTCCCTGCTTAGCGGGGAGTCTGCTTCTCCCCCTGACCCTCCCCTCTCTCGTGCTTTTTCTTTCTCTCAAATAAATAAATAAAATCTTTAAAAGAAAAAGACGCTTCCTGTCCCGGGAGCTCTTAGGTATCAAAGTGTTGTCCTTTCCCCCTGCCTTTCTGGTTGAGATCATGTCATTGATGAACTCCCAAAATCAAGGGAAGAGGGCAGACACCTCGTGTTTACATCAGAGTTTCTACACGTTTTAGACAGAGACTCTTTAAGGCCTGCGCTCTTATTTCACTAAAGACAAACTAATGGTAGCACACGTTGCTAATGACAGTGGATTTTTTTTTAATAAAAAGTTTACAGATCAAATGTGAAATAAGTATAAAAAAATAAAAGAAAAAGATGCTTTCTGCATATTTTCATAAGCAGATTTAAGATTCACTTATATTTTTATTTCTAATATTTTTGCATGTTTCATAATCATTTTTAGTTATGGTATTGTACTTTTTAATAAATACACATTTGTGCTGCATTTCACTGTCAACAGAATATAAAGGACATAAGGGGCTTTTTCACTAGATAACCTGAAGAATGCTTATCTTTATCAGATAGTGAATAGATCTTAATAATCCAAATATACTGTCTTGTTCATATTATTGCTATTATACTTCTCAGTTGTGATCGTAATGTACATAATCACACACAAGTTAGAGGATTTCAGAAATGTTGATAAAGTCATTTAGCTCTTTAGTCTTCCAGAATCCTGTCCTTGGGCTGCATTCTGAGGTCCAAATTAATCCATCCCTTGTTTATTCTATAATTAGTAAACAATCTCCTATTTTTTCTCTTTTTTTTTAAGATTTTATTTATTTATTTGACATGGGGGGGCGGGAGAGGGAGAGGGCAAGCACAAGCACAAGCAGGGGGAGCAGCAGGCAGGGGAGAAGCAGGCTCCCCGAAGAGCAGGGAGCCCGATGTGGGACTCGATCCCAGGACCCTGGGATCATTAATTTAGCCGAAGGCAGCCACTTAACCAACTGAGCCACCCAGGCGCCCCTAACCAGTCTCCTATTAATGGACAGTTGGATTTTTACTTTTTTTCTATTTACAAATTCAATCTCTTGTCTTACCTGTTATTTATATTAACAGCTATTTGAAATGTTCTTAAACAGTGTACAGCTTGTACAAGCAGTGCAAAAAGAATTCTGCAGTTAACCCACTGCTTTAGAGAGCTTGCAAAAGGGGAACTTCCCCACAGTACCATTTCAACCTCCTCTAATTCTAGATGTCAAAAGCTCTTAATAAGCTGATTTTTCCTAAACTTTGCCCATAAACAGGTTTTCTCTCCTGTTCCGAAATTGAAGACCGGAACAAATCAGAAATTTCTCCGCATGTCTAGCTGTATATAAATTAACTTCTCTAGGAAATGGAACAGAACTCAAACTGGCAGCTCTGTAGCTGTCTTTTTTGAAACCCTAAACTTAAAATAATCAGTGTAAGTCCCACCCCAAGTCTTTTTCTTAGTTACTTGATTTCTCATCTTATACTGTAAAGGACCCCTGTCCTTTTTTACAAGACATTTAACCCCAGCAAAGTGAGTGGGCATGGAATGATTTCTTCAGGTAATAGGAGCTGTCTGTAGAAAAATGGCGATAGAGGTATTTGTTTATTGATTTTACATGTTTATAAATGGAATTTTTCAGATTATGTGCTGATCAAGCTATCCGAAAAGTTGCTTACCTCTTGAGTTATTTTGTTGTTGTTTTAATCAAATTGTTGAGGATTTGAGGACATCTGCCCATATGCAGAGAGAAACCTGATTTTGGGGAATACTGATTATATAAATAGTAATATTTAATGATTAGTGGGTTTTAATTAATGATACGTCACATTTTTAAACACAATAAGAAATTTTTTAAATCTGGTTAACTCAAGTATATGTGGTTTATTAAAGTTCTCCTGGATGGAGCTCCTAAACTTAGGTGGCTTAAAACAATAGTAATTTATTTTCTCATGGTTCTGGAAGCTAGAAATCCAAAATTAAGGTTATCAGCAGAGGCATGCTCTCTCTCAACAATTCTTAAGATTTTATTTATTTATTTATTTGAGAGAGAGCACACGCACACAAGCGGGGGGAGGGGCAAAGAGAGAGAGAGGGAGAAGCAGACTCCCCACTGAGCAGGGAGCCCAACTCGGGGCTCAGTTCCAGGACCCTGAGATCATGACCTGGGCCAAAGGCAGATGCTTAACCAACTGAGCCACCCAGGCACCCCTTCCTTGTGTGTTTTCACGTCATCTTCCCTCTTCAAGTCTGTCTCCATGTTCAAATTTCCCCTTTTGAAGGAAGCCAAAGAGAAGGGTATTTAGGTTCAACTAAAATGCCAGCCTGCTCCACCCAGAGAAGTACATTTTGTGAGAACCAATGGAAAGGAGCCTGAGTTGCTGTAGTACATTCCCTGTGAATTCATGACATGATAGTGTAAGTGGCTCAGTCAGTTAAGCGGCTGCCTTCGGCTCGGGTCATGATCCCAGGGTCCTGGGATCGAGTCCCGCATTGGGCTCCCTGCTCAGCAGGGAGCCTGCTTCTCCCTCTGCCTGCCTCTCTGCCTACTAGTGTTTCTATCTCTCTGTCAAATAAATAAATAAAAAATCTTAAAAAAAAAAGATAAAAGACCTCAAGACTGCAGATTTCCCCTTTTTCTGAGGACACCAGTCATAACTGGATTAGGACCCACCTTAATGACTTTATTTTAACTTGACTACCCCTGTAAAGACCCTATTTCTTACTAAAATCGCATTCTGAGATTCTGGGAGTTAGGACTTCAGTGTATCATTTTGGGAGCCACAGTTCAACCACAACTCATAACACAGCTAAAGACTAGAAGGATACACAGGAAGGAATAAACAATTAAACACTGGGGAGAAAGACTTGGGTGGCTTTTCTTAATTGAGAAATTAAAATATGTCTGCCTTCAACTAGTTATCGTATATATATTTTAAGGTGCTATAAATTTAGATGTAGAAGTATTACATTTCCAGGGGCTCCTGGGTGGCTCAGTCGGTTAAGCGTCTGCTTTTGGCTCGGGTCATGATCCCAGGGTCCTGGGATCAAGCCCCACATTGGGCTCCTTGCTCAGCGAGGAGTCTGCTTCTCCCTCTCATACTCCCTCTGTTTGTGTTCCCTCTCTCGCTGTGTCTCTCTCTGTCAAATAAATAAAAATCTTAAAAAAAAAAAAAAAAAAAGTATTACATTTCTGGAATCAGATAGTCCTTGGTCTAAGAAAAAATATATGAACTTTGAGGGAATTGCCTTCCATGATAACAGATATGCAGCTTTTGTGTTTTGGGGAGCAATACCTTGAATTTTGTTTAGGTAGTAAACTTTTAACAGCTTTAGAATGAAAATGAGCATTGTCATTAGCTTTAAATTTGGACACCAGTATTTTATTAGTTAATAAATAAATGGTAGTATTACCTCTTTTTCCTTATCCCACATATATTGAATGATCTCAACCTAAACTTTTACAATTTATTTTTTTCTTTCTTTAAATTTTATTTTATTATGTTAATCACCATACATTACATCATTAGTTTTTGATGTAGTGTTCCATGACTCATTGTTTGCGTATAACACCCAGTGCTCCATTCAATACATGCCCTCTTTAATACCCATCACCAGGCTAACCCATCCCCCCACCTCCCTCCCCTCTAGAACCCTCAGTTTGTTTCTCAGAGTCCATAGTCTCTCATGGTTCGTCTCCCCCTCCGATTTTCCCCCCCTTCATTTTTCCCTTTAAACTTTTACAATTTAAACATTTTGTCATAGTGTTCTAGACACTCAATAAACTTTATTAAGATAGGAAAATATATTTTTCACTAATCTGGCAAAAATTAAATTTTAGCAGGGTCTAAGCAGAATAAGTTCCCTGACAAAAGAAAAAGGAACTCTGTGGACTCAGATCTGAAAAGCACAAGAGAATCTATAATGCCAAAAGTAAAAGAGTCCTTCCTTGAGAAGCGTCCTGACGGACCACATCAGAGAGAGAAATTTATAAAACATATTGCACTGAAGACACCTGGGGATGTATTGCGCTTGGAAGATATATCCAAGGAACCCAGTGAAGAAATTGATCGCTCCTCTGGAGGCTTGGCACCTTCAAATTCTGGCCACCATTCTTCCAGGAATAGTGACCAAATCCGTGTGGCAAGTACCAAAGAGACTAAGATGCAGAAACCCCACTTATCTTTACCTCAGGAAAAGTCTGCAGTTAAAAAAGCTAACAACTTTCAGAAAAATAAAACTGCTAGCTCTGTGGCATCAAAGGAGACAAAACTTCTACCTTTACTTTCCCATGTTCCAAGTGCTGGTTCCTCCCGGGTACCATTAAATGCTAAAAATTGCACTCTTCCAGTTCCTAAAAAAGAAAAAGAGCGTTCCTCATCTAAAGAATGTTCTGGGCATTCTACAGAGTCCTCCAAACACAAGGAACACAAAGCAAAGACTGATAAAGCTGATTCTAATGTATCTTCAGGGAAAATTTCTGGGGGATCTTTGCATTCAGAATATGGCACTCCTACAAAGTCTCCCCCAGCTGCTTTGGAAGTTGTGCCATGTATCCCAAGCCCTACAGCACCTTCAGATAAAGCCCCTTCAGATAAAGAAAGTTCAGGAAATTCCAATGCAGGTAGCAATGCACTGAAAAGAAAACTAAGGGGTGATTTTGATAGTGATGAAGAAAGTTTAGGTTACAACCTAGACAGTGATGAGGAAGAGGAAACATTAAAATCACTGGAAGAAATAATGGCTTTGAACTTCAATCAGACTCCTGCAACTACAGGAAAGCCTCCTGCTCTTTCCAAGGGGCTTAGATCTCAGTCATCAGACTATACAGTAAGTAGTGCTGTGATATTTATTTTTACTTGAAGAGGGAAAGATGGATTGATTAGTGAAAGAGGGATAAATTGCTAGAACTTACTTGAAAACTTAGTATTTGTTATGATTCATAATTGGACTGAAACTGATATAGTTCTTGTTTGGTTAATGGATTTCCCATATCTTTAGCTTTATTACTGTAAATCAGTGGTCTCCAAACTTTTTTGATCACACACACTTCTATTAGTAAAAAATTTTTAAGCATGTACTCCAATATATATGTATACTTATAGATTATATACATGTACCACTATACTACTGTGTACTTTCTAAAGCATATGCAAAAACAGAATTTAAAAGGAAGAAGAAAAAGTATTTTCCTATAGAAGTTATATAGAAGTTACTATAGACTAAGTTCTACTGGAGTTTCTATAGAAGTTCCATATAAATAGAAGTTCTATTATTTTCTTCCTGCACCCCAATGGATCACCTTGCACACCCCCTGCTTTGGAGACCACTGCTGTAAATGAAGGTAGAGTGTAGAAATGTTGTTAATTGTGGTGTGCAATTTTATTTATAAAGTGCTTCATTCTATCTTGGGAATAAGCTGCATTAAATTCTAATATGTCTGTAAAATTTGGTGGGGAAGGTATTAATGTTCCATGGTAACACCTAAAAATTAGTTTGATTCCATTAAAATAGAATTTAAAAATAAAGACAGGGTAGCCATGGAGCCCTTGGGTGTTTGCAGTCAGTTCCTAAGGCTGGCAGGGTTTTATAAGTAGTGCCTTTCCTAATAAATGGTAAAATCAAATTGCCTGCAGTACAAAATACTAGATTTAAAGCATGATGGTAAAAATTCTCTAAGAAAGGTATCCTCCTGGCCTAGGTTATTGAAATAGACAATATTCTTTAGTACTCTGAATAACTTATATAAGAAATCCCAATTCTTCTAAGATATGTTATAAAGTATTCCTAAATTTTCTTCTTGTTTTAGGAACATGTTCATAGTGAAACATACACAAATACTTTAGAACGTCTAGTGAAGGAGATGGAAGACACTCAAAGGTTAGTTAGCATCATGACTACCTTGCTAAATTTAACATACTGCTTGTTTGTGTGGCTGGCTTTTAATTTTCCTTTAAAAATTATGAGAAATTAGCATGCATTTTGTGCTAGTTTTATTGTCAACTTTGTTAGAAATAAAGTATTCTCGTTCACAGGTGGGGTCAGAAGATCAGGTTTTTATGGTTTACTGCATTACCGTAATAAAACAAATTCCTTTCTGCTTACCACAACCAGAATCTAACTGGTAGCTGAGATTCTTGATCAAAAAGTGTGGGCAGAGTTTTTTGTGTGTATTTTTTAATTGTGATAAAATATATAGAATTTAATTTACCATTCTAATCATTTTTAAATTTGCAGTTCAGTGGCATTAAGTACGTTCACCTTGTGCAACCACCACCACCATCTATCTTCAGAACTTCTTTTCAGCTTCCCTAACTGAAATTCCATACTCATTAAATAACTTCCCATCCTCCTCTTCCCCCAGCCCTTGGCAACTACCCTTCTACTTTCTGTCTCTATGAAATAAACTATTCTAGGTACCTCATATAAATGAAATCATACAGTATTTGTCCATTTGTACTGGCTTATTTTAGTTAGCATAGTGTCTTCAAGGTTTGTCCGTGTTGTAGCCTGTGTCAGAATTTCTTCCCTTTTAAGGCTGAATAATACTCCATTGTATGTATATATAGCACATTTTATTTATCCATTCATCCTTTGATGGACACTTGTGTTGCTTCTATTTTTTGGCTATTGGAAGTATTGCTGCTGTGAACAAGGGTGTACAAATATCTCTTTAAGTCCCCACTCAATTCTTTTGGGTTGGTATGTTCCCAGAAGTGGAATCCTGGACCATACAGTGATTCTATACATAATATTTTGAGGAACTGCTGTACTGTTTTCCATAGTGGATGCACCATTTTACATTCCCACCAGCAGTGCACAAGGATTCCAGTTTTTCCACATCCTCACCAACACTTGATATTTTCTGGTTTTTTTGATCATAGTCATCCTAATGAATATGAAGTGGTACCTCATTATGGTTTTGATTTTCTCTTTCCTAATAACAAATGATGTTGATCATCTTTTCATGTCCTTATTGGCCATTTGTATAGCTTCTTTGGAGAAATGTCTATTCAGATCCTTTGCCCATGTTTTTTTTAAGATTTTATTGATTTATTTGAGAGAGAGCACAAGAGGGGGAAGGGGCAGAGGGAGAAGGAGAAGCAGACTCCCTGCTGAGCATGGAGCCCCATGTGGGGCTTAGTCCCAGGACCCCAGGATCATGACCTAAGCCAAAGACAGACGCTTAATCAACTGAGCCATCCAGGTGCCCCTTGCCCATTTTTTAATTGAGTTGTTTGGGGGTTTTTTGTTTGCATAGAATTTTTTTTTAACATTCTTATGTTCATGTAGTCCAAATTTTGAAACCAGCATAGCCACACATGGTATTTCTACATCAAGTTACTCTTGAGGAAGAAGTTTAGAATTAATGTTTCTCTCTCTTTCTGTCTCTGGCTCTCTCTCTCTCTCACACAGAAATCAAAAAGTTTGAGGATCATAGTGGACCTGATAAAATTTGTCACTAGTTGTAAACTACTTTTGCTAATGAGGGGGAAAATATCTTCCTTATTTAAGGAATATCCTCAAAACTAGCCCACAGAACTTCACTAAAAGCTCAACTGACTTGGGGCGCCTGGGTGGCTTAGTTGGTTAAGCTTCTGACTTTGGCTTAGGTCGTGATCTCGGGTCTTGGGATTGGATCAGGCCCCACTTGGGGCTCCCCGCTCAGCAGGGAGTCTCCTTGTCCCTCTCCCTCTGCCAGTCCCCCTGCTTGTGCTCTCTCTCTACCTCAAATAAATAATAAAATCTTAAAAAAAAAAAAAAAACCTAAAAAAATACAGGGGTTCAAATTTAATTCATACTTGAGGAGACCACTAACCGGGATCAAGTCCCGCATCGGGCTCCCCACTCAGCGGGGAGTCTGCTTCTCCCTCTGACCCTCCCCCCTCTCATGTGCTCTTTCTCTCTCTCTCTCTCTCTCATTCTCGCTCTCTCAAATAAATAAAAAATAAATAAAATCTTTAAAAAAACTCAACTGACTTGAAGTTGGTATATATGTGTCTCAAACTTGATAGATGAGTTAGCTCACCATAGGAAATACAATTAGAAGTGTTCCCCTTTCTGAATTTAGAGAAATTGTCTCTACTGTAAAATTCTTTAAACATTTCAGGAATTCATGTGATTTGTAATGTCAGATCTGAAGTTCTTTATTTAAAATGAACACTGCACAGACCAGAGGCAGAGATGCTAGTTTGATCTGATGATTGACTCTTTTCTGTATTGGTAGAGCAGTACATTTACCAGTCACTTACTGTTGTATTATACTCATCTACTGTGGGACTGGAGTTAGGAATAAGGACCTTGGTTAAAATAACTTAATCTTGGCAAGCAGTATAAGCAAGGACTCCAGAGCTAGACTCTCTGGCTTTGAATCCCAGCTCCTTGCATTGTGAGCTTGAGCAAGTTAGCATTCCTAATGTTTGTTTCCTCATGTGTAAAATCGGTAATAATAAACTACTACATGGGGTTCTTGTGAGGGTTGAAAGATTTCATACGTAAAGTTCTCAGTACAGTGCCTGTCCCATAGTAAGGGCTCAGTGTTAGGTATTGTGATGATAATAATGATAACAATGATAATGACTACTGGTGCTAGAAAGACTAATTAACATCAGTTTGTTGGTCTACTAGAAGTCAAATGAGCATTAAAGATTCAAGGGGAAAATCAAATTATTCTTTGCCATTTTTCCTTCCCCTTTCTCTAAATGATTTGGATATCATTCTTGAAGTCCTAGCTATAAAGAAATATTCAAGTCTTCTATGTGAAGGAACACTATTCTAATACCATACCAGTAGCTGGGTAAAAGTCTGTTACACATCATGATGTTTGGGAAGACATAATTTGTCTGTAGTGCATCAAAGTTTGTCATATAACAAGGTACTTATTAATAAGAGGTTGGGTTTGGGGGGGTTTTGTTTTTTGGTGCTGCTTTTAGACATAAACTAAAGATTATTTTTAGAGTAAACCATTTTCTGTAACATTTCTTTCAATTCTCAGGCTAGATGAACTGCAGAAGCAGCTACAGGAAGACATAAGGCAGGGCCGAGGTATTAAATCCCCCATCAGAATTGGAGATCAAGACAGTACAGATGATGAGGATGGCCTCTTAGAAGAGCACAGGTCTAGCATTTTTCATAATGTATACCCTATTAAGTTTATATTTTTTTAATTTTGTTCTTGTGAAATAAATGAACCATTGATGGTTATATACTTTATGAGTAATCTATGATGGTTTTCTAATTCATCTATGATGGATTTGAAGGACAAATGTTAAGGCCAAGTTACATCTTTTTCCTCCTGGTTATTGTTTCTTTTCACACAGACCCATTTAATGGCTTTGGGCTAACTACTAGCAAAAAGTGGGAGGAACAACACACATGTTCTCATGCTAGTCTTCTTATCTGGGGTTAACATTGGTCCTAAGAAAAGTTTTCTTTGCACCCAACCTTTAAACACAAAACCAGATGCAATATAACTATTTGATATTCAATAACTTTTTTTATTCCAGGGAATTTCTAAAGAAATTTTCAGTTACAATTGATGCTATTCCTGATCATCACCCAGGTGAAGAAATATTTAATTTCCTCAATTCCGGAAAAATTTTCAATCAGTATACCTTGGATTTAAGAGACTCTGGTTTTATAGGACAGAGCGCTGTAGAAAAGCTTATTCTTAAGTAAGTAGAAAAATAGAAAAACATTTTGCTTTTTCCTCTATAAAAATTACCCTAAAAGATTTCTAACTGACATAATCTTCTAAAAGGTTAATTTCTATTATGACCTATCCAGTTTTCTAATCCTTCTTATTAACTATTGCTTTTTGTGTTTATTATTTAATTATAGGAGACAGTGTAAGATAGTTGCTTGGCGTATTACATGCCTTTATTAGTTAGGATTAAGATCAGCGTATAATAACAGCAACTGTCAAAATAATAGGGGCTTAAAATAAGAAGTATATTTCTTTCTTATGTGAAAGAAGTTCACAGGTAGGAAGTCCAGGGCTGGTGTTTCACCATATAATCTTTCTTCTCCACCATCTTAAGCACCTGGTTGCTTTAGGTGCTGCTGGTACTCCAGCCCTTTACCTTAAAATTCCCAGAAATCCCACACATTTCTACTTAATGGTTAGTTGGATAGAGCTTAGTCAACATGATCACGCCTAGTTACAAGGAAGGCTGGGAAATGGTTTTTACTTCAGGCAGAGCCAGTGTACCCAGCTAAAAGTCAGGGTTCAGTTGCCAAGAGGAAAGGCAAGAATAGATGTTGGGATGGGCAACTAGCAGTCTATACCACAGTGCCCAAATTGGTCTAATTTCTCTCAGTGCATGATTATCTCAGATGCAGAGAGATCACATTAATTCTGGTGCTGAGTTTTATGGAAGTACAAACCCAAGCTGACAAAAGCAGACAATGCCCTGAGACTTAATAGGAGCTTTCTCAACACTGCCAGCTAATGTAAATTTATCCACCAGATATATCTGGAAACAGGCCAACAGACTGGATCAGCTTTAGGCCATCACTTGAATTTCCTTTATGAGTAACCGATCCATATTGGAGTAGAGTCCACCTCTAAGGACTGAGGATGGTGTGCTTGCTCATTTCCCTGATTATGTCACATGTGGTGGTAGAAGTTTCTTACTATGAAAGTAACAGTCATTGATTTCACTTTATTTTTTCAGATCAGGAAAAACAGATCAGATTTTTTTGACAACACAAGGCTTTCTTACCTCTGCTTATCACTATGTCCAGTGTCCTGTACCTGTGTTAAAGTGGCTGTTTCGGGTAAGAGAAATGTTTGGGGAGTATAGTTGTCTCCTACTGCATTTCCTAGTCAAAAACAAAGTTAAAATATCATATTTGCACATTACTAGAGGAAAAAAATAGCACATCAAACCCATGATTTCAGTGGGTTAAAATGAGGCAAAAAGAGTCCATGTGAAGAGATTATAAAGGAAATGCTAATGCAGATCGTGCACGGGATAGTAATGTTAATTGTGCCTAAGACATTTCATCCCACTGGTAAATCATTATCATGGTTAGTTTTAGAAGAGTTCTTCTCATTCTTACGTTACCTATTTTTTTGGGAGGGGAGGGGAGCGGGTTTAGTGGGGGTTTTCTAAAATATTTTTTTCTCCCATTTTTATGGAGATTCTTGCATATGTACTTTTAGGATTTGACTTGTATACCAATATTTTCCCATTTGTGTGTGCGTGTGTGTATGCAGATATATATATATATCTGCAACCAAATGTTTCTTTTCCCCAATAATGGTTAATTCTTAAATCCACTTAATTATCTAAATTTTTATATTATCTGCATGGTAACTTTAGAAATATCAGTGGCATCAAAAAATATGACTTAAAAAATATGACTATTGTATGAAGTGAGAAGTGGGAAAAACATGAGTTTCTATTCTGGGCTTTAAGATAGCATTTCAAACAGTCTCATATTTGGCAAGAACTAGATATTCCAGTTTAGCCATTTATTCATTTTTTTCATATAGCTGGCATTTTTTGAGTGCCACCTGTGGCCAGGTACTGAAGAGAACAGCAATGAAAAAATCTACATTTCTGATCTCATGAAAGCCACAGTCTAGTACTATAGAGGAGATAGTAAATGGGTATGTGTGTAAATGCATATTTAGAGATCTATTATGTCAGATGGTAAGTGCTAGGAGGAAATAGTAGGCTATGGTAGACACAGAGAAGTATCAGGGTGGGGAAAAAAGCTTGCTTTTTTGAATATGTATATAAGATAATTAATGATGAGGGCCTTACTGGTAAGGTGAGGTCTGAGTAAAGAGAAGAGAAGAAAGTAATGGAGTGAGCCGTGCCACTGTGTGGTAAAAGACCATTCTAGGCAGAGACAATAGCAGACTATTTTTTCTTTTTTAGAAAGTATGTCAGGGGCGCCTGGGTGGCTCAGTTGGTTGAGTGACTGCCTTCGGCTCAGGTCATGATCCTGGAGTCCCAGGATCGAGTCCCACATCGGGCTGCCTGCTAAGCAGGGAGTCTGCTTCTCCCTCTGACCCTCCTCCCTCTCATGCTCTCTCTCATTCTCTCTCTCAAATAAATAAATAAAATCTTTAAAAAAAAAAAAAGTATGTCAGAATTTATTTTAATGCTGTGGTTCTAATTTTTTTTTAACCCTTCTTACCCAAAGAATACAAAAACACTAATTCAGAAGGATATATACACACCCCAGTGTTTATTGCAGCATTATTTACAATAACCAAATTATGGAAGCAAGCAGCCCAAGTGTCCATCGATAGATGAGTGGATAAAAGAGATGTACATGTACACATGCGCACATGTACAATGGAATATTATTCAACCATAAAAATGGAATGAAATCTATGTTCCTAAATTTTTGTAGGTTAATTGTTAAAATGTAATTAAAATGTTTGCATTTTCCTGATTTTTATGAGTGTAAAACTAGAAAGACACTTTACTACTTTTTAAAAACTTTTGCAAAGGCAATTCGCATTTGATTGTGAAAAGTTCAAGTAAAATGGAAAGATTTTTTAAAAAGGCTTAATGCCATCCCAGTTTCCAGGGGCTATTAAATTTTAGTGTTTTCTAGATTGTTCTCTGCGTGTACATAGATTGCTGTATGACAATATAAACAGAATATGTGCTGTTTTATGTTTTGTTTATTTCAGATAACTATTGAGTGTTTTCATGTCAGTATAGATATGTTGTCATCCTTTTTAATGGCTTTATATAATTCTTTTGTAGTGTTATACTATGATTTATTTAACCCAGTCTCAGTTGATAGACATCAGATTGTTATATGCACCTCTTTACACGTTTATTTAATTATCTCCAAGTACTGGGTTGCTCACCTTAGTATTATTATTACCCAAAAAAGATTGTTACCAAAACTTGTCCTGTTTCCAGCATGCCTTTGGATGGTGCTTCCCCCTAGTGGCAAAACATAACACAAACATTGTAACAGACTTTTTTGACACAGGTTGATTTTGAAAATGGCACAAACATACAAATGATGCAAATACAAACATACAATGACACAGATACGCCTGATTGACACCACAGTTTGGGTTAATCTCCCTTACATTTTAGATTTAAATTTACTGTAATCATAATCTACAGCTCCAAAGCAAAAGGGAAAGAGAAATGTTTTCCCCTACTAAACCACTTTAAAATTACCTTCGATACATCATATGATTCTTTTTTTTTTTTAAAGATTTATTTATTAGAGAGAGCGTGCATGCAAATGCAAGCAGGGGGAGAGGGAGAATCTCCAGCAGACTCCCTGCTGATAGGGAACCTGACACAGGGCTTGATCTCATAGCCCTGAGATCATGACCTGAGCCAAAATCAAGAGTTGGATGCTTAACCAGCTGAGCCACCACCCAGGTGCCCGTCATATGATTCTTTAAAATGTTTTTTTTAACTTGAGAATATTTTCCCAAAAAATGGTTGTGTAAAATTATATTAATTGTATGCCTCTGCATATAAATTTCTGTATGTAAAAAGGCTAACTAGATGAAAATATAAGGACAATAACTTTGCATAAATATTACCAAATTACTTTTTAAATTTTACCAAATTATACTTAACACTGGGCATGCTGCCTCTTTCCTAGTACTCTTATGAACACTGGCGTTATCAATGTTCTTGATCATTAACAATCTTAAAGTCAAGCTTCTCTTTTTTTTTCTTTCTTTAAGATTTATTTCAGAGAGAGAACAAGCACGAGTGGGGGGGTGGGGAGGAGAGGGAGAAGCAGGCTCCCAGCTGAGTAGGGAGCTCCATGCAGGGCTCAATCCCAGGACCGATCAGGGCCTGAGCCGAAGGCAGATGCTTAACCAACTGAGCCACCCAGCTACCCAAAGTCAAGCTTCTTTTGAAAAGCTAATGACAGTTTATCACTTCTCTTTGCATTTCTTTGATTACTAGTGATGTTGAACATCTTTTAAAAAGTATATTGATAGGGACACCTGGGTGGCTCAGTCCATTGGACCTTCTGCCTTTGGCTTAGGTCATGATCCCACAGTCCTGGGATCGAGTTCTGCATCGGGCTCCCTGCTCAGCTGGGAGTCTGCTTCTGTCTCTGCCTGCCACTCCCTGTGCTTGTGCTTGCTCTCTCTGGCGCCTGGGTGGCTCAGTCATGATCCCAGGGTCCTGGGATCGAGTCCCGCATCAGGCTCCCTGCTGAGCGGGAAGCCTGCTTCTCCCTCTCCCACTCCCCCTGCTTGTGTTCCTGCTCTCACTGTCTCTCTCTGTCAAATAAATAAAATCTTTAAAAAATTAAAATAAAATCTTAAAAAATAAATAAAAAGTAAATAAATAGTATATTGATATATTATTTTGCTTATTTGTATCTTTTCAAATATTTTTATTAGTTTATGGTTTGATTTTTGCCTGTGATCAACGAGCAGCCTTTTCCTTTATGGTTTTTGGATTTCATCGCACAAATGAACTAGAAAGGCATTTTTTGATAGTTTTCATATGTTACATTTGTCTAATATAAACGAAAGTTGTAAAAACAGCATGTTAGAATGGAAAGGGCCCTGATTTTAGAATTAGACCTGAATTAGAAGTTCCAACTCCTCATGTATTACATTAGGTATTTTAATCTCTCTGAGCCTGTCTGTTCATGTGTAATGTATGACCACTTCATAAGGTTATTGTAAGTATTAAAATGAAATGCATATAAAATACATTTTAAAGAAAATACACATAAAATACCTTTATATATGCCTGGCAAGTAGTAAATGCTCATTTTCTTTCTTTTTGAATACTCTTACCTACTTTGGCAGATGATGTCAGTTCATACAGACTGTATTGTGTCCGTGCAGATTTTAAGTACATTGATGGAAATAACAATTAGGAATGGTGAGTATATGAATTTACTCTGATTAGCTGTGTGAATTATTGGTTGCTATGTACACAGTCTCTTTCGTATTGCTAAACATTTAGGATATTCAGAAATATAGAATAAAAAATTATTTTTTGTGATCTAAAATCTTTAATGACATGAAACTCCAATCAAAAATGAGTATCTGTATTTTTCTAGTTGCATAGAGAAAAAGGGTATAAGACCTTACAAGTGACAGCCCTAAACTAATATTTACCAACTCATGGGTTACTGTTCTGGGTAAATGGAAATAATTGCAAGTTTGTTATTTATTTAGCCAATTAACTTTAACTGGCTTATTGGTGAACAAGTATTGTACTGATTGTGCACTGAGGAGACTGAAAGTACTACAAAAATGTAACAGTTGTTTTCTCACCTTTGAGATCCCTTATAATGAAACAAGCGTTGTGATTTACACCTTTCACTTGTTTTGGGGATTGAGACTATATGGGCACTGAAGATGGTAAAGTCTTTCTGTGTTAGGAGTAGTTGGTATATTACCATTGTTATTTTCAGTCTTTTCAAAGTGTGTTACTTCTTGAGTTATACTCTTTTATTCATCATCACTCTCAGATACTTTAATAAATGTCATTTCCTTCATTTACTTGAAAATCTAAAATTCCTATATGATCATTCTAAATAACTATATCGTTAACATATCATTACCAGATGTCATTTCTGTAAAATCATCATAATGATCCATATTTCACATGCAGACTGTCACCCTGCAACTGTGTTTGTGAACCTGGGATTTGGGATAAAATATTTTCTTCTGTTAACTAGATACCTTCAGTGATTCGCCAGTTTGGCCCTGGATCCCATCATTATCTGATATAGCAGCTGTGTTTTTCAATATGGGAATTGATTTCAGATCTTTGTTTCCTCTGGAGAATCTTCAGCCAGACTTTAATGAAGATAATCTAGTGTAAGTTTTATTTTCATAATTAACTCCCAAAAACATTCTTTTAAATAATTTGTAATATGATAAGAGTTAATACTCATTTGATAATTTCAGTACCCATTCTTGGTTTTTTTAAATCTCTCAAAGTTGAAATGGATCTTGAATTAGATACATTCCTAACATCTCTCTTAATCTGAAAGTCATCATCAAGTTTAACAGGGAGGATATAGGGGCACCTGGGTGGTCAGTCATTGGGCATCTGCCTTCGGCTCAGGTCGTGATCCCAGAGTCCTGGGATCGAGCCCTGCATTGGGCTCCCTGCTCCAAGAGGGGCCTGCTTCTCCCTCTCCCACTCCCCCTGCTTGTGTTCCCTCTCTTACTGTGTCTCAGTCTCTGTCAGATAAATAAATAAAGTCTTTAAAAAAAAGGGGGGGGATATAGAAACATTTAAAATTTTTAAATTTTTTTAAATGAAACTGACATTATTTGACATTATTTGTTATTTGACATTATTCTGTTATCTGACATTATTTGCTTATTTGACATTATTTGTTGGTGATACTGGCCAAAGCAATTAGATAAGTATTTGACATTATTTGACATTATTCTGTTGGCAATACTGGCCAAAGCAATTAGATAAGAGAAAAAAATAAGAGATATAAAAACTGGAAATGAGTTGGTAAAAGTTTCATTATTTGCAGAAGAAGTGTGTTAATGTATTCAAAGAAGTCTAAGAGTCCACTGAAAAGCTGTAACAAATAAAAGAAACAAGTAAGAGAAACTGGTATGGGGCACCTGGCTGTCTCATTCAGTAGAGCATGTGACTCTTGATCTCAGGGTTGTGAGTTCAAGCCCCACATTAGGCATGGAGCCTACTTAAAAGGGGGGGGTGGGGCACCTGGGTGACTCAGTCAGTTGGGTGGCCAACTCTTGGTTTTGCCTCAGGCCATGATCTCAGGGTGCTGGGATCAAGTTCCACATCAGGCTCTGCACTCAGCAGGGAGTCTGCTTAAGATTCTCTCTCTCTCTCCTCCCTCTGACCCTCCTCCCACTCACCTGCTTGCTCGCTGTCTCTCTCTCTCTGTCTTTAAAATAAATCAAATAAGTCTTTAAAAAAAGAGAGAAGTTGGTATGGATTCCAGGGTACAAAGTTTAAAAAGAGAAGTTAGTAACCTTTGGATATATGAGCTGTAGCTAGTTTAAAAGATAAGCTGGGGGGTGCCTGGCTGTGTCAGTTGGTAGAGCATGTGATTCTTGATCTCAGAGTCTTGAATTTGAGCCCCACCTTGGGGGTAGAGATTACATTAAAAATTTTTTAAAAAGGGGCGCCTGGGTGGCTCAGTCATTAGGCGTCTGCCTTTGGCTCAGGTTGTGATCCCAGGGTCCTGGATCGAGCCCCACATCAGGCTCCCTGCTCAGCAGGAAGCCTGCTTCTCCCTCTCCCCCTGCTTGTGTTCCCTCTCCAGCTGTGTCTCTCTCTCTCTCTCTCTCTCAATAAAATCTTTAAAAAAAAATTTTTTTAAATAAAATCTTAAAAAAAAGGTAAACTGGAAGAAAAGACTTCATTTACAGCAGCAAGAAAAATATATGAAATACCTAGGAATAAACTTGAAGAGAGAGAGAGAGTATGTGTGTGTGTATGTGTATAGAGACAAAATAGAAGACCCAAATAAATGGAAGAACATACCATGCTTTCAGATAGGAAAATTCAACATTATAATATAAATAGATTAGAGCTCCTGAAATTAAACCATAAACACAATGACATTTGAATAAGAAATGCCAATGGGATATTTTGTGGGGAAGGGGAGAGTTGATACTATACAAGTGATTCTACAAAGTCATATGGAAAAAAATAGTATCTAGAAAAGTTTTGAGAAAGACGAGTTAGGCAGGACTGGCCTTAGCAGATAATAGTATGGGACAAGTGCAACATGCAAAGTTCTGTCAGTGGAACAAAAGAAGTCCAAAATCGAACCAAATACATATAGATACTTAGTAAACGCTAAAGAAGCTATTTCCATAAATGAAAGAGTAGGCTGTTAAGTATCTGGTATTATCCACTATCTGGAAAACTGGATAGCCATCTGAAAAAAAATTTGCATCCATACCTCAAACTGATAGAGCAAAGATTTAAATGTATACAATAAAACCATAAAATAGAAGAAACCAGTAGGTTTTTATAATCCTAGAAAAGGGGGAAATGGTTTTGTGTATGAACTAACACTCAAAAGCCGTATAAAGGAAAACTAATTTATTTGACCACATTAAAAACACTTTGCCATGACAGTAATCACTATACACAAAGTCAAAAAAGCTTCAAAAGGGAGTGGGAGGGAGATATATATTTATATGAATTTTTCATATTCATGCATATATGTATGAATGAAACAGCTGTGGTTACAGGTAAAGATTTAGTTTCAAATTAATAAAAAGATAATAACCTATTAGAAAAATGGACAAAGGGATAAACTGATCACAGAAATAAAACTGGTTCTTAAGTATGAGAATATACTCATCTTCACTTCTGAGAAAAAAGGTAAATTCTTGCTATTGCTATATCCAAAGCCAAACTCTTACCTCTCTAGTTCTCTTTCCACTCCATACAGGATCCCTTGTTGCTCAAATATGATCTGTATCTAAAAAATATGTTGGATAGCAAATTTTCAGATAAAGACCATGTTCTGTCACTTTAAATAGGGAAAATAATGCTTTCCCATCCCATCCAAAAAACCCAACCATTGCCCGCAAACATTGTTAAAATACTCAAACCACCTATATTTAAAAAGTTAAAATACCAGTTATTTTATTATTTAACATTTCATGAATTCAGTAACATGGTCACGTATGTTGTATGCAAGATTTGAGTTTTTCTTCACTGTTGCAAGCCGGTACTGTAGTGGAAATAGTGAAATAAAGATATATAATGAATGCATTAAGGCATAATACATGCGGATAATATTCAGCAAAATAGTTTTTTTTATTGGTTACTTACCAGTTGAAGAGTTGGCATCAGTTAGGTTCGGTGACTACAGCAGGGAGGTGGTGGCTGTAGTCACTGTTGCTGTGTAGTGGTAGGCATCGATGAGCACAGGAAAGCAAGAAGGAGCTGGTGAAGGAATGAGTGAACCATGATGAAATGCCTGTTTAAGCAACCTGAGTACAAGACTGAATCCTATTGAGATATGACCACAACTCACTCTTCTCACTAAGACTCACGTGCAACTTAACCATTTTTGTTGGTGTGTATGAAATGTTTGAAGGCTCTTAAATATTCAGATAGGGAGAGTAGGATACTACAGGATAGTCGAACAGTTCCTTTCTTGACCATTATTCTGTTAGATATACAGACTTAAAATCTGAATCACAACCTCTTTTCTGCATTCCATCAATTCTCACATCCCTGTGTTCTAGTTCCTCTGCTCATGTCACAGCTGTTCTTTCCTTTTTTGTTACCAGTGTTAGTCTAATTCAGTTCCTCTTTTCATGCCTACCCTGGCAAAAAAAAAATCTCCTTTTCCCCAGGGGCTTTCTACCTCCAAGGTATTTATTCCTTTCACTGTTGGAGGATTCCTTTTATGAAACATAGCCTTGAACGTCTTTCTCCTCTGTTCTCAAGCCTTTTTACACCTTGTATTGAAGACTCTACAATTTGACCTATTTTCTGTTTTGCTGTCTCTTTTGTTTTAACCAAATTGATCTGCTTGCTGTTCCTCCATATTAGTCATCATTGCATTGGCTCTTCCTCATACTGATCCCTCACCTCCATCCTCAGTGTCAGCTCACTAAAATATTACCTGTCTCTCTCGTTGAAGCACTGTTTCTAAGAGCAAGACGGGGCCTGGGTGGCTCAGTCTGTTAGGCATCCACCTTCAGCTCAGGTCATGATCTTGGGGTCCTGGGATCGAACCCCACATGGGGCTCCCTGCTCAGCAGGGAATCTGCTTTTCCCTCTACCCCCCACCCCCACTTATGCTGTCTCTCACTCTTGCTCTCTCTAATGAATAAAATCTTTAAAAAAAAAAAAAATAAGATCAAGACAGTCTTATCTGTATGGAACAGATTACTAAATCATGGTACGTTAATAATCATCATCACAACTACTAATAATTACATGCTGCTTACTATATGCCAGGCACAGTTCTAAGGGCTTAACATACAGCACTTCATTTAATGGTCACTACAACTATTAGATAGTATTCTCATTCCATTTTACAGGTGAGTCAGGCACAGAAAGGTTAAGTAGTTTGCCTGAGGTTTATAGCTAAGAAGGCACATAGGGCTACTAAGCAGAGACTTTAAAAGCTAAGAAAGCTTTTCATATATAGTTATGGAAGTATAAGATATATTAAGTGAAAAAGAGATACATAACAGAGTACATAGTGTGCTGCCATTTACATTAAGGGGGGGCAAATAAATAAATACATATGTATTTGTATATACATAAAATGCCTGTGGAAGGAAGGACTAAAACTAGTAGTGATTGGAGGGGAAATGGATGGCAAAAGGCCTAGACTGAGGACAGTTCTTCACAGCAGTACTGTGCCTTGATACCTTTTGGGTTTTTTAACCATATGAAGGTATTACTATTCAAAAAATTAAATAAGAAAGTACCTTTTGAAGGCCAAATTCATGTGTCTCCTCCTCCATGAACCTTCACTGATTACCTCAACCAAAACTGCGGTGCTTAGAATTGTTTCTTTATATTGCTGTCTATTCATGAGACCTTTATTATGAGTTCTTTTGTAGTCAGAGCCACCTTTGACATAGTTCTCTGACACCAAGAACAATGAGGATAGTGCCTTATAAAAAGTAGCTGTTCAACGGAAAACTAATGCATAGAGATAGGTATCAGATTAGTGTTTACCTGGAGTGGGAGATAGCAAAGTGACTTGGATCTGGCATGAAGGGACTTTTGTGGGTAATGGAAATGTTCTACTACTTCTTTATTCTGTTGGTGGCTACACTACTATATATATATATATATATATATATATATCAAAACATAAAATGGGTATATTCCTTTTATTATATGTAAATTATGCCTCAACAAAACTTTTTTGTTGTTCGATCTTAAAATAATTATTTTGTGCCTAATTTCACATTGCTTTATTCACTTTTCAATAGTTCTGAAACACAGATGACATTGGGGGGGGAAGGAAGTGAAGATTCATCTTGTAAGCCAATTTTTTCAACTCTTCCTGAAACCAACATTTTAAATGTGGTTAAGGTAGGGAAAAACTCTTTTATGTCTTTAGCATAGTACTGGAACCATTTAGTTTTGTGGTTAGTGGTTTTAAAACAAAATCACTAGTGTTTTACCAGGTGATTTCCAATCTTTGAAATTTGTTAGCAGTATTCTTTGTATTAAACAGCGCTGTTTTTATTTTTTGTTTTAATATTAGAAGTAAAAGGGAACTTTAGATTTATAGAATTAATATAGTTCTAGGATACCTTTACCAAGAAGCTTTTAGAAACCAGTATTTTTAGAACCAATAATTTTTTTAGAATTAGGACGTATGAAGAGAAAAAAGTTATTACTTGGTGATTAAGAATTAATAACAGTGTTAAAACCTTTTAGTGGCTGAATCAAGTCAGTGATACTGAACCATTAAAAAAATCTCAAAAATGAAAATTAGAGAAGAAAATACTTACCGTGTCACCTAATTCAGCTATTACATTGCTATTAACATGAATGTTTCTTGCCTTTTTTCTAGACATCTGATGTTTTGTTTTCTATAAGTTCTCTTTTGCATTTTTTTGTCAGAAAGTTTTTATAATTTAAACTCTCCAAGTAAAATATATCTCCTTAAGTTGTTTTGTCTCTGTACTTCTGTCACAGTTTCTAGGCTTGTGTACATCTATACATCCAGAATGTTACCAGGATCGTGAAATAATGTTGCTGATTTTAATGTTGTTTAAAATGAGTTTGGAGAAACAGCTGAAACAGATTCCTCTAGTGGACTTTCAAAGCCTCCTGATAAATCTGATGAAAAACATTAGAGATTGGAACACAAAGGTAACCATACTTAAAGCTTTTGTACTGGTTTTAGTATTGGTTTTTTGTATACCATCACAAATTGACTTTCATAGTGCATATGGAATTAATAGTTTCTAAGCTCAGTTAAGATCTCTGGCAGATGAAAAATAAACAGGAAGCGACTGTCTTTGTTGGAACTGTATTAAATTTATGATAACTGAATCTTCTCTAAAACTGCAGCTATTCATTCCAAAAAAAAAAAATGTTTATTGGGGATTTATTGGGGGTCAAGCATTAATGGAAGTGCTGGAGATACAGCACTGGAAAAGATAAATCCATTGCCTTTATGGCAGTTTTATGCTAGTTAGAGGGTTAAATAATAAATGTATATTATATTATGTCAAGTTGTAATAAGGGCTACAAATTAAAATAAAGCAGGACATGGGTATAAAGAATAGCAAGACAGGAATCTTTGCTGTTTCAGATAAAGCAGTCAGGGAATGCCCTTCTGAAGTGACCTTTGAGGAGAGACCTACATGAAATGATGAAGCAAAGTCACACATACAACAAAAATTAGAGTTGAACGTTTATAGCCGTATTAAGGATAAACATGGATAATTTTTGTTAGGTTTTTAAGAATTACATTTTTTAACCTTTTTTGATGGAAAATTTCAAACACGTGCAAAAGTAGAAAGACAAGTATGATGAACCCATAAGTACTTAATCACCCAGCTTCAACAATTAACAAGACATAATCAACCTTGTCTCATCTGTTACCCTCATCCCACTTTCTTCCCCTACTCAGAGATTATTTTGAAGCAATTGTGTTAGACCTTAAATACTGAAATAGTTGAGGATCCCTAAAATGCAAGAAATCCCAGGTCAGGAACATGTATGATCTTCTGCAGCTCTCATTATACACCTTTAGAAGCTGGTATTTGTATTTAGCTCATTTAGGGGTACCTGGGTGGCTCAGTCAGTTAAGCGTGCGACTCTTGATTTCGGCTCAGGTTATAATCTCAGGGTCCTGGGTTGGAGCCTCCAGTCAGGCTCCACACTCATCAGGGAGTCTGCTTGAGGATTCTCTCTCCCTCTGCCCCTCCCCCCTGCTTGCACACACACGCACACACACACTCTCAAATAAATTAAATTAGATCTCTTTAGATTTAGATTTGTATTCTTCTAGGGAGGACTGTTTAGAATATAGGTATAGGTATGACATAGAAAAAAACATGAAAGCCAAGTGAAATTCTGATAAATATATCTGTTCAGTATGTTCCAAAGTTTAAGATAAAACTTAATCTATGTACTATGTATGTTTTAGCAGGTTCTAGGCTCCATGCTGTTTCTAAAAATGAGTGCTCTTTTTGTGATAATGCTCACATAGGGCAAGAAGGTGTGGATGAAGAAGATGTGGATGATTTGGTTTCACTGACCTATTGAAAAATCTTGCTCATTCTTTGTTTTCAGGTGCCTGAACTCTGTCTGGCCATAAATGAACTGTCTAATCATCCACACAACCTTCTGTGGTTGGTACAGCTGGTTCCTAACTGGACATCACGTGGAAGGTATTGAAAATTGAGAATTAAACATTAAGAAAAATTTATATTTACATTAATGAAATACTTTTGGGTCCTTTATTTCCTTTCATCATTCCTTGAATGTTAGATCAGTCTTTTATTTCATAGTCAGCTGTGGGAAAAAACATTGAGAGCTTGATTCTAATACTTAGATCATTTTGTGATTTCTTGATTTTTAATTTTAGATTGTCTTATAACTTAATACAGATGACCCATATCATGAAAATGAATGAATTAGCTTTTTTTTTTACTTTAGTAAATATAAATATGAGCAATAAAATAAATTTTCTATCAGTATATCAGCAGGGCCAAAGATAAAGACTCTTAATGATTTGCAGGCAATTCTAACTTTATACACAAATACTTTACATAAAAATTTTACTGTTCTATTAAAGTTTATTTGTTCTTATACTGTCTTCTCTTGAAATACTAGCTATGTTTCCAGTGTTTCCAATTAGCAGAACTTTGGGTTTATTCATTTGCTTCTCAAACAGTATTGATTAAAATGCATTCTAAATACTTTTAAATTCTAATTCCAGGCAACTAAGACAGTGCCTCAGCCTAGTGATTATTTCAAAGCTTTTGGATGAGAAACGTGAAGATATCCCTAATGCCAGTAATCTACAGGTATAAATAATATTTTTGTTTTCTTTTCATAAATGGGAAAGGTAGTGAAGTGTAAGGAAAATTGATGGTTCTTAAGTCAGAAGTTCTGGGGTTAGATCTCAACTCTCAAGCATAATAATATTCATATAATCTTTAGAATGGTACTTAACTAATGAGATCCATTACACTGACATGATATCATATTCAGTAACATATAGGTTGGTTGTGGATAATTAGATGAATTAATGTATAAATACTGGGAAAATCAAAATGTGCTATATAAATATGACTATATGATTATTTATCAAGGTTAGCAATTTTATCACAAGATTAGAACTTGCAGAACTATTGTACATTAATTGCATCTTGTACCTGTTTTAATATTATATTGTAGAGCTCAAACATGGGTTGTCCTCTAGTTAATTGTTCAGTAGTAAATATATCATGTGTAGATGAGTGGGTTTAAATATGTCCAGCGGAAGCTCCACTGAAAGGTACTGAAAGCTTTTTACAAACATTAATAACACTAAGGGAGCTACAGGGGCTACACATAGTTGGAATTTTAAAACTCAACATCTAACCTGGTCTAGATATGTTCTTCTGTGACCTGCAATTCAATACAAGATGATCTATTTTCTACTAGGTCCTAGGGATAAAAAAATGAATTAGAGACTCTGCTCTTGAAAACATAATCTAGGTTGAAACAAAATAAACCCTGTAGTACAGTGTAGTAAGAACAATGATAGAGGTACGCACAGGGTGCTGTGAGACAGAGATTGAAGGGAGCAGCTGATTTCTTCATTAGTAGAGCTCAGGTAGATTTGATTCCGGATATGGGGACTGTCAGTCCTTTCAGTGATAACTTACTTTCATCAAAAGAGAATTCTTTTTAGAATTCAGTGACTTCTACTCATAGGGAGATTCAGCTTTGCTGACTTTCAAATAATTTCACAGAGAAAGCGTTCTGTTTGGCCTCTATTGTAATGCCATTTGGTCTCCTCCTCAAGCTTTTATCCTCAATTACAAGTATTGAACCTTTTAATTTAAAGTCCGTTTTAAGCAAATGAGGACTTTTAAATAAAGGAGAATTGGATATCACTGGACTATAAAGAAAGCTAAAGGGGCAAAATTAGAGAAGGCAAAATGAACAGAGGACCACTGAAAAAAAGTAGACTAAGAACAACTGTATTGCTTAATATTGTTCAGTTTCTCCTCTTTCTGTTGATAGATATCAGTCCTACATCGCTATCTTGTGCAAATGAAGCCTTCTGATTTGTTGAAGAAAATGGTCTTGAAGAAAAGGGCTGAACAGCCAAATAGCACTATTGATGATAGTCTTCATTTGGAACTCGAAAAGCAGGTATCCGGGGCTAGATCATCTCAGAAGAGTACATATGAGTATAACTGATGCCAGTTTCCTAACAACAGGCTGATAGCATAGGCATTTCTGGATTTAGAGACTTAGATACATTCTAGCAAACACAATTATAAAGTGAATGGTATTTTTTACTTATTGCTGTCGTGAAATTCTTAAGTAACCTTGAGAGTTGAGAACCGAGGTAAAAGGATGGTTGTTGGTAATTTAATACTGGGAGTATTTTTTATACTCCTTTACTAGGGCACTTGTGAGATAGTAAAAGGAATGCACTTGAGTTAGAAGTCAGGAAGCCTAGATTAAATGCTTGGATTTTCCTACTTACCAGCTCAGTTAACTTTATTAGCAAATTCTTTAGTCCTTCCTGGGCAACTCTCCTAATATGTAAACTGGAATGATACTATACTAGCTAATTCATGGGTGTTTGTTTTATTTATTTCTCTGACAGGCATATTACCTGACCTACATTCTTCTTCATTTAGTTGGTGAAGTTAGTTGTTCTCATTCTTTCTCTTCTGGACAACGGGTAGGTAGACTTAGTGTTTTTTGTTTTTAATAAGTGTCACTATTGATGGAATGAATGAATGTTCTTTATATAGAAGAAAACTTCATAAAAGTTAACTTTGGGTTTGCTGTAGAAATCCCAGTGTACACTGGAAAGAGGAAAGTAATAGTAACTTTGCAACCATATCATTGGCAAGAATTACCTATTTGCACATGTTAGTTCTGTTTATTGGAGTGTAATTTAACCATCATAACTTCACAACAATATAATACATTAATAAGATACCAAGGTCACCAAATGGGCCAGCTATTAGCTGTTTTTTTCCCGTCTTTTCTCCCACTCACTTTTTTTTTCCTTTAGAACTAATATTTGCCTTCAAAATTAAATTGATGGTAAGGCAGGCTACTTTACATATGCATTTCTCAATTATCTCCCCATGTTAAGATACTCATTTTGAATTATTCTGTCCTTCCCATACTATCATAATCCATACTTCTGGGGAAAGTTCTTGTTTAAGTCATCATGTTTCATACTGTAGGTATTCCAACCTGTTTTAAAACTTAGTATTATTTCCTTAGTCATTGTGAAAAGGACACAACACTGGGGGTTCATGTGGGGTTTTCTTGGTTCTGTTGTTTGTTTTGCTTTTTGGGTTTGTTTTTTGTTTTTTGTTTGTTTTTTAGACACATAATGTTACATTAATGTCAGGTGTACAACATAGTAATTCAACAGGTTTATATGTTATGCTGTGCTCACCACAAATGTAGCTACCGTCTGTCACCATACAATGCTATTACAACACCGTTGACTATATTCCCTATGCTGTACCCTTTATACCCATGACTTACTCATTCCATATCTGGAAATTTGTATCTCCTACTCCCCTTCAGCCATTTTGCCCATCCCCTACCACCCCCTACCTTCTGGCAACCATCAGTTTGTTCTCTGTATTTATAGGTCTGTTTCTGCTTTTTGTTTGTTTATTCATTTGTTTTTTAGGTTTCACATATAAGTGAAATCATGTAGTATTTATCTTCTGTCTGACTTATTTCACTTAGCATCATACTCTGTAGGTTCATCCATTTTCTCACATGGCAAGAAGATCTCATTCTTTTTATGCCTGGGTAGTATTCTATGTGTGTGTGTGTGTGTGTGTGTGTGACACACACGCACACATATACACCACATCCTCTTAATCCATTCATCTGTCACTGGACACTTGGGTTGCTGCCATTCTTGGCTTGTAAATACTGCTGCAGTAAACATAGGGATGCATATATTTTCTCAAATTAATGTTTTTGTTTTCTTTGGGTAAATACCCAGTAATGGAATGACTTAAGTCATTTGGTATTTCTATTTAATTTTTTGAAGAACCTCCATACCGCTTTCCACAGTGACCACATCAATTCACATTCCCACCAACAGTACATGAGGGTTCCTTTTTCTCCACATCCTCACCAACACTTGTTATTTCTTGTCTTTTGATTCTAGCCATTCTGATAGGTGTAAGGTGATACCTCATTGTGATTTTGATTTGTATTTCCTTGATGATTAATGATATTGAGCATCTTTTCATATATCTGTTTGCCATCTGTAGGTCTTCTGTAGAAAAATGTCTGTCTTCTGCCCATTTTTTAATTGGATTTGTGTGTGTGTGGTATTGAGTTCTTTATATATTTTAGATATTAACCAAATCGGATATCAACCTTAATTGGATATATCATTTGCAAATATCTTCTCCCATTCAGTAGGTTGCCTTTTCATTTTGTTGATGCTTTCCTTCTCTGTGTGGTGGTTCATGTATTTTTATAAACACTCTTGTACATAGCACTATGTTTGCTCTCTTTTTTTTTAAGTTTATTTATTTAAGTAATCTCTATACCCCCAAAATGGGGCTCGAGATCAAGAGTCACATGCTCCCCTGACTGAGCCAGCCACCTGCCTGCCCCTAAAACTGTTTGCTCTCCTAATTGGAATCTAATGTAGTCATCTATCTGTATTGTTCTTATATGGTCCTCACATTTTTTTAAATAATTTTTTCTGATTAAAAGCAATGAGTATTGTTTTAACAGTTCAATTATTATAAAACTATATAAGGTAGAAAGTGAAAGACTTTTCCTTTTATCCAATGCCCTCCTATAAATTTCTCCATAATCTGTGCATATACTAACTTAATTACTGTAACAAAAATGGAGTCATACTATTCATATTATTTGCGACTTATCTTTTTTTTTTTGCCTTAAGATATTAGCACTTCTATATCAAAATCTTTGTTGATGAGCATTGTATTATGCTCCTTGTGATTACACACAGTACTAACATGAACATGCTTATTTGTGTATGTCTACCAACCTATACAAGCATATCTTTAGGATAAATTACTAGAATTAGAATTGCTAGATCAAAGCTTGTAAATTTTTCAAATTTTAATTATTGTAAAAAAATGGTTATCACATTTTCCTTCCAAAGAGTGTCCATTTACATTCTCACCTTATATATTCAACCTTACTGTATGTATACCAGTGACTGTTTTGGACTATACACTTCTAAAACTTAAGACACTTAATTTGTCAAGACACTACTTTTAAACCTTCTTTTGTTCATAGAGAAAAAGTAAGTTGGCTGTTACTTGAATATTCCATTAGAGAATATGTTAAAAAAGAGGGACTCTTTAAATTTCTGAGCATTACATCACAGTCAGAACTCTAGCATTAATTTTCATTAATGTAGCTTAATATACAGCAAAACAACTTTCATTTTTGTGTATATTTTTATGTTAGCAGTAAACCTTAACAGTCTTATTGTCGTGGCAGTTACTGTTTTCAGTGGTATGACTGCTATTATGTTATGGTTAACATCAGAAATTGGTAACTGGAGAATGAGATTTTTTTAAATGATTGTTAGTTCTAAGCATCATCTCTTTGTTAATTTGCAATGCTTCAGACTTGTTTTCATCCCTCATGTTTGTTTTGCACAGAAACACTTCGTGCACCTCTGTGGGGCTTTGGAAAAGCATGTTAAGTGTGATATTAGGGAAGATGCAAGACTGTTTTATAGAACTAAGGTAAGTGTGTGTTTTTCATAAGAATTGTTAGGGTTTTCTGTTGTTGTCTAGCTTTGATTACATTAATATTTGAGGAAGAGAAGTGAATAAGCCTCTCTTTAAAAAGGGGGGGTTACCTGGGTGTCTCAGTCAGTTAAGTGTCTGCCTTCAGCTCAGGTCATGATGCTGGAGTCCTGGGATTGAGCCCCACATGGTGGGGGTAGGGAGAAGGGGGGGGCTCCTTTCCCTCTGCCCTTCACCCTGCTCGTGCTCTCTCAACCTTCTTGTGCTCTCTGGCTCTCACTCTCTCAAATAAAATCTTAAAAAAAACATATAAGATGAGAAATATGACTTTCTCCTTTAATAACAGAAATCAGTTTCTACTAAATACTTCTAGCTAAATTAAAAGTGAAAGGAGAGGCACCTAGCTGGCTCAGTCAGTAGAACATATAACTCTTCATCTGGGGTTGTGAGTTTGAGCCCCACATTGGGCAAAGAGATTACTTTTTTTAAAAAAGTGAAAGGGAAAAATCTCAAGACAAATATATTTTTCATTTTACTATGCTCTCTATTCTAAGACTCCTGACACCCGAAGAGAAAGTTCTTCCAGTACTAATAAAACTTATTGGAACGCCTGGGTAGCTTAGTTGGTTAAGCATCTGCCTTTGGTTCAGGTCATGATCTCAGGGTCCTATGATCCAATCCCTCATTGGGCTCCTTGCTCAGCGGGGAGCCTGCCACTCCCCCTGCTTATGCTCTCTCTCTGACAAATAAATAAAATCTTAAAAAAGAGAGAGAGAGAACTAGTTTCTTTTCTGATTACAAATTAAGACTTTTATGCCTAAGTTAGTTTCAGGAATTAAAAGCAATTTTATGATAGTTAAAAACTTGTTTTGTTCAGAGAGAAGAAATAGGTTAGCTGTTATTCTTTGAATGTCCCATTAGAGAATGTGTTTAAGAAGGATTCTTCAGGTTTCTGAGTTCTACATCATCTAGTCTGAGCTCTAGGATGGAAATGATTCAGCAGTAAGCTTGCTAAGCTTTTTTCTTAAAAGTTTAGTATATTCCGAGACAGTAGACAGTAGAAAAGCTGACAATGAGTATGGAGTTAGGAAAGCAACTTGAGTATTAATAAAATAATTTGTTTTTCCTAAAACGTTAAACACTTTTTTTAAAAACTTTTTTCTTTTAAGGATTTTTTTCATTCCAAACCATCTTTTAGCATTTGTAATGTAAAGCTGATTTTTTTTTGCCATTGTGTTTGGATAAATCAGTAAATGTGAAGTTTCAGCTTTGTAACTTTATATCTTACATTAATTAGCTGTAAAGGTTAGTCATTTCAACAATGCCCATTTGGATTCAGTATGTGTATTTATTTTAGTAGATTTAAGTTAAATACAGAGGTGAGCAACTAATGAAGTTGTATCGGATTGCAGATTTTCAGAAATATGTAGGGGATAGCTCTTTGACTTAGAGGGGAAACCATAGTTTCAAAGAAGCACATTCTTTTGAACACTGACTAGAGTTACTGGCCCGTAGAACTTAGTGGTAGTGGCTACTGCTGACAGATGTGCTAAAAGGGGACCACCCAAGGTTTTTGTTTCTTAAAGCCAAGGGCCTGCATAGATTGCTGCCAGGGCTTGCTTCTCTTACTTAGAGTGGAGAGAGACACAGGGGTCTATGGAAATTGTGTCGGGGGATGGTCTGCTGAGGAGTTACCTCTTCACAACCTGTAAAAGAAAAGGTGGTGATTATTTTGGAGAAACCAAATCTGCTGAACTCTGAATGGAGAAAAAAGTAGACCTTTTAATTTACTTTATAAACTTAAAGCAGCTATAAAATTCTTGACTTGTTTAAAACATTTTTCTGAAGCAGTTATGTTTAAGAACTAATTGAGAATCTCTAGAGTTGTAGGGAAGCTTGAGTTTCAGGCAGAGACTCACTAAACCTACAAACGTGGAATATACTTTGTATTTAAAGAGGATTCATAGTACTTGCAGAAACCTAGAGAGTACAGTGAATCTTGGATCTTCTGATAATGTGGAAAGGAACAAATGACAGCCATTTTTGTGGCCTTGAGTCTTTCAAATAGAAGTTGGAAAGACAAAGACAGCCAAAGCCTTGGGCCCTATAACAAAGCCCACAATTAAGCTACTCTATGTGGGTGTTCAAAAGCCAGCAAGCTGAAAATATAAGTGTCTTGCAGGCAGGGAAGGAATATGTTTTTTCTGGATGATCTTTAGTAACTGATGGGAAAATAGAGTCCTAAGCGTTCAGTAATTTAGATTATGGTGACTGAGAAAAGTCTTACATTAATCACTATGATTTGAAAGCCCCTTCAGAAGATGAGTAGTTTATTTTCTCTTTCTTGACAAAATTAAATTGAATTGTTGGGTATGGGCCTGTCACAACTATCATAGCTTTCATATCAAGCATTAAACTGATTTTAGTTAAGGATGTTTTGATCTGATCCCTTTTCCCCTTTTTGATATTTTTAAGGTAAAAGACCTGGTTGCCAGGATACATGGAAAATGGCAGGAAATAATCCAGAACTGTCGGCCTACTCAGGTGTCATTTTATTAAACAGTTTTATTTATTCTTAGTAGTTTTGCTAAATGGTATTTCTTTATACTGTTTAAAAAAAAAAAAAAATGACAGAGCACTTGCTTCTAGGTGTCTTAAGATAAACTGAAAACTCCAGTATAATAATCTGTGTATGTTTTTTAGTATTTGTTTGCTTTATATTTATTAATTTATTTCCAGAGATGGTTGAGCCCATTTTAAAATGTCACATTGCATCAAATGGAGGTTGATAATTTCATGGGGAGCATTTTTCTTAACAGCTTTATTGAAATAAAATTCACGTATCATATTTCACTCATTTAAAGTGGTTTTTAGTATATGCACTGAGTTGTGTAACCATCACCACCAAATATTTTAATGTACTTTAAAACATTTTTGTCACTCCAGAAAGAAATCCCAGAACCCATTAGCAGCCACCGCCCATTCCCCAACCACGTGCATTTCTATCCCCAACTCCCCCCAAGCCTTTAGGTAACCACTATTCTTTTGTCTATATAATTTGCTTATTCTTCACATTTCATATAAGTGAAATGATATACTATGTGGTCTTTTATGACTGGCTTCTTTCACATAATGTTAGGTGAATCCATGTTGTAGCATGTATGTCATTTCTATTGCCAAATAATATTCCGTTGTATGAATATATCTTATTTATCCACTTATTAGATGGGACATTTAGGTATGCTTCTACTTCCTGGCTGTTGTAAATAACGCTTCCATGAACAACACTACACAGGTTTTAGTGTGAACATATGTTTTCAAATTAAAATATTTTGGGTGTATACCTGGGAATGGAATTGCTGAGTCGTGTGGTAATTCTATGTTAAATGTTTTGAGGAATTGCCAGACTGTTTTCCATAGTGGGTGCACTGTTTTACATTCCCACCAGAATGTATAAGGTTTCTAAATTCTCCACATTCTTGCTAACACTTGTTATTATCTGTGTTTTTGATTATAGCTATAGTAGGGGGTTGGTAGTAGAATCTCATTGTGATTTTAATTCATATTTCCCTAATGACTAATGATGTGCATCTTTTCATATGCTTACTGTCCGTTCATGTAGCTTCTTTGGAGAAATGTCTATTGAAATCCTTTGCCCATTTTTTAATTGGGTTTTTTATCTTTTTATTACTGAATTGTAGAAATTCTCCATTTGTTCCAAATACAAGTCCCTTGTTAGGTATATAATTTGCAAATAACTCTCTAATTCTGTCTGTTGTCTTTTCATTGCCTTGATGGTATCATTTGTAGAACAAAAGTTTTTAACTGATGAAGTCCAGTTTTATTTATTATTTTTCCTTTTGTTAGGCTTTTGGTATCATATCTGAGGGGACTTTGCTTAAGAAGGGCATTGTTTAAGCACCTGGTATTACATTTGCCATACTATAAATTTGCCTTTTACAAACTAACTGATATGTTATTGTCTATAATTATGCTTCTCAAATTTTAATGTGCATATAGGCATCAATTTATTGAAATGCAGATTTTGATTCAGTAGGTCTGGAGTGAGACCTGAGAGATGCTGCATTTCTAACAGGGTCTCAGATTGATGGCAATGCTGCTGGTCCAGGAACCATAATTTCAGTAGATAGGACCTAGAAGTGGCTTATAGTTTATGTCAAAGCAACAGGAACACTGAAGATTAATTAGGAAAAGTAATCTCAACTCTTCTGCATTTTGACTCTCTTGCTGTTATTGCCCCTCATAAGATATGCCTGCTCTTTGAGAAATCTTAATGTTTTGTTATTTCAGTTTCTAATCTCAGTAGATCTTGTTTTAGCCTGGCCATCTTTGCTGATGTCGTATTAAAATAAATGTAATACCAAAACTTTTCTACTAGTCAGCTTAACATTTTACATAATCTTCTTAAATATGATCCTCTACATGTGTGTATTGGTGAGGAAAACATTTTGGACTTATTTTGTGCTTTTTTTAATAACTTAGACCACAAAATATGAAAACTGACTCTGATTACCATAAATTTTCAGAGAAATGTACAATATAAAGATTTTATTACTTCCTTTACCAAAACCCTGTTTGATGATTAGTAGTTTTATAAGGATTAATGCATAATCTAACTTTGCTTTATCCTGTTTTTTTCCCCATTCCCTTTTCTAGGGGCAGCTTCATGACTTCTGGGTACCAGATTCTTAACAGGAGTTGAAGCAGCAAAAATATGAACCAAGAGAAATTCAATAAGACCTTTTTCTAGAGGAGTAGAAAGAATGCTACAAACCAGTGGAATCCATGCTAAGAAAATGTGCTGCAAATGTGCCACTTGAATATCTAGTATGAAGCTGGTAATGAAGAAATTGCCATTTCTGAAGCAGATATGAGACACGATCTGCTTAATTTTAAGGCAACTGACATTTTAAAAAGAGCAGAATCCTATAACAAGAGGGGAGGGGTAGAAGCAGCTAGTAGTTGCATGTCTAACCTGCCCCTATTAACTCCTCTTGTTAATTTGTAAGCCAGTTATCCTTTTTTTTGTTTTGTTTTGTTTTGTTTTGGATTGTATTTATGGCACTTGGATAATCACAGGAAATATGTAGGAAAGGGTTTGGACCAAGTTGAGTAGTTTGACATGGAAATCAAGACCAAGTTCCAGTTGGGTTTAATCTTCCCCTTGGTTATTTTAGGACTCAAAAAGAAAACTTAGAACTGAGATTAATAACAAAAAGAATAAATCTCTTTGGTAACTCCTATAAACCACAGGGAGGTTTCAATCCATACATTTTCCTTCACTATTTAAGATTAGAAATCTGTTAGGTTTTTAAAATACATTTAAACAGTTAAGAAACAGGAATTTGGTGTATTGTCAGATCCCCCTTAAGGGGAAGAGGTTAAGCTATAAAATAGTGTCTCTGTTTTTATGCCAAAACATTCATTGCAGTTTGTTTTGGGTTCCTTTTAAGTGTATATATAATTTTTAAATACTGGTTAAAATCTTAGAATTTGGCTAAATCTTAGAATCCTGGCCCTTGGTTAGCCGTATTACAGAAGTCTATAGTATAAAAGCTTAAAGATCTGGACAAGTTTCCAAAACCCTTACTTTCATGAATGAGTATATAAGCTTGGCAGAGACCTGGATGGTGTTTATTCTTTGGGACATTGCACACGCGTGTGTGTGTGTGTGTGTGTGTGTGCGTGCGCACGTGCGTGTGTGCGCTTGTATTTTAAATTTGTTGCACTTGAAAACCACAGCTGCTCTAAATATTCTTAAACACTGGAAAGCCATCCTTGGGTTTAAATGGTGAAGGGTTAGTAGAAGTGCACATGCTGGTCTTATTAGCCCAAGGGCCCTTTGAAGCCTTCGGTAGTAATAGACTCTTACTAGCTAACTGAAAAATTCTTTTGTTGACTGAGTGTCCCTTTGTGGAGGGGGTTGTTTCTTGAATGAGAATGTCAACTTTTTTTTCCTTTCAATATTGACTTGGATGACACTGCTTTCCTGAGCATTCTGATGTCTCCAATTGTGGGGGGAAAGATGATGGAGAGGAAGGGAATTGGACTTGGGGTTTATGGTTTGAGAGGGGAGAAAATCATTTTTGAAAAATAGTTTTCTACCTCTAAATTGAGGCTTAGTAGTAAAAAGCATTTTATCTTAAACTTAACATTTACCATAGTATAAGTAACTTTTGAGCCCATGTCAAGCATTGAGCAGTTAGAGATTTTATAGGGAAGACTAAGTAAATCCAATTCCTTAGAACCCCGACTGAATGAGGCTCCAGGAGTCAGACCAACAAAAGTTTTATTCTGTGTTGAGTTTACTGGTAAGAATATTATTATCTCGATACTACCTCTCAAGGGTATTATTAGAAAATGCCACTTATGGTTAATGAGATAGATACAAAGAGTTCTATTTGACAGAAGCTTGAAACTCTGGCATCTATCTGCCCAACAATGGGGGCTTTCACTCTTTGTAATTTAATACTTTGTAGATACATTATTTGTGTGTAATTTTATAAGTGTTCATATTTTTCTCATTTTGCATTGTGTAAAGTGTACAAAATCTCAAAGTATAAAATACTGCTTATATTGCTTGTAATTACAGTGTGTAAATATTTTCTAATCGTGTACATTGACGGGGGGACAAGTGGGTTATTCAGGTTTTTTTTTTAAGTGACCCTTTTGTATTGCAGTTTCAACTGATAACTGCTCATCAAATTTAAAACCACTTTGATACATTTTTATTTAGCAGTTCCAATAAGAAAAGTCTCTATTTTTAATTGTCTTTCTTCATTAGAGAAAAATACTTCATCTGTCCCTTTAAAAATGGCCAGACATCAGTTTGAGCCCTTGTATTTTTGACTCTGGTAGGCGTCTCCGTCTCCAGGTCATACTCCAGTCAGTATTTGCATTGGGTTCTCATACAAATTCTGTGATGATTCTCTTTTAGCACAAGTAGCCCATGACTTTTCTCCCAAATCAAGTATTATCCTTCTCCCTCTTGAGTCCCCAAGTTCTGTCTCCCTCCTGCTGTTGTTGCCCAGCGAATGGGATGGTAGTGGGGGGAGAAAATGTTCATTGCACAGAAAATGTCAGGCCACTTTTGGGACTTGGCAAACAAAGCTTGCACTGAGTGGTGGTGTGTTTGGCAATATTACTGTGCCAAAAATAACCTTGTCTAATTTTCTGGATATGTATGTCAAACTTATTACCCTTGTTGCAAGCTGAAAATTAAGGTACTTGTCAGTGTTTATGCTTTTGTGTGTAACTGTTTGCCTTTTCTAAACTGCTTTTCTTGTTATCGGAAAATATAATTCTATTAGTTATATCATGTTAAGTGAAGAGGCTCTCCATGCACAAAATGCATCTATCTAGCAGTAAAGTTAACAGCATTTGTACATTTCCTGTCTGTCTTTTGATGGCAGTGGTGCCTTTGTCACCTTTTGGAAGGTTGGCATTTTGGTTTTGTTTTGAAGTACAAATAGCTTGCTTTTGACTTCAAAAAACCTCCCCAGATGTAAAAGAGAGAAAAAGGCGCATTGTCATCCAGGCTCAGTCAGGAGCATTTGCATTTTTATTTCTGTCCAAACAAGTATAGTTGGTGGGGGACTGGCCAGTAATAATGCGTGGAGTCTTTAAACCAAGGGTAATTTTTAAATTTAAAAATAAAAAATTTAAGAGGTGACCCAATAACAAGTGACTGAGTTGGAAAATTAGGGAAGAGACTGTCCTGGTTTGTCTCCAAGGAGGCAATATTAGGGTACCGGTGGCTGGGCATGTAGAGCACGGTCTGTGGTGGTTATTTCTTACTCGTTTACAGTGTTGGTGCACCTCGTTATCTGTGCATCTGTTTTCCCTGGGCAGTCCTGTCAGCCAGTTGCTCCACCAGCTCTTAGGCAGTTTACAAGTAAATGCAGATGTCTTTTCTCTTCCCTTCTTTTTTTTTTTAAGATTTTTTACTACATCTTGTTTAAAGTCCCATGAATGTATGTGTGTGTTATTAAAAATGCTTTTTCTCAGTTTGAACGTGTTTGGTAATATTTGTTTGGGAGTGGGGGATAGTTAAATATCTGGGAATCCTGTTTCTTCCCTGCCCCATCCCCCTAGTTTTTAAACTGATTCTTTTTTCCTCTTGCTTTGGATTCTTCCATCTGTTTTTTTGGTTTGATGTCTCCTGTTTCTGGAATACATAAAGCTATAGTTGTGCACAGTTCACTTTTACATAACCCACTTAATAATTTGCTGCATAATTTGTGGTCAGCAATTCAGTAATCTCATTCTTACATTACCCCCTTCACTCGGTTGATTCAGCAACTATTGCATACCTACTACATGCTAGGCACTCTTTTGAGGATTCAGTGGTGAACACCACAAACAGCTCTCATGAATTGTACCTTCTGGTATCCAGGTGAAAATACTTTGTTATTGGCCAAAGAGGACTGGAAAGGAATCCTTTGGCCTGGCTCCCTTGTTCTAGAGCCCAGGTCAAGGAAAGGGGAAGCCATATGATGCAGAAGCAGGGCTCAGGACTACCTCCAACCTGCCAGGCGGATAAAGCTGTGCATATGCCAGCTGAGGGGAGACATAGGTTGACAACTCCTCACAGAAGAAACTATTACGAGCTCATAGAAGGGCTAGGCATGGTTGCCAGAGGCCTCAGGTTCCAGAACCATGCCAATCTTTCTTCCTTCTGACAGGCTGGTTTGGAGAAGAACACTTGTGAGCATTTTTCTGACTGGGGTAGAAGGGTGAGGGAGTAACAGCCAGGCAAAAGCAAAAGACATTGCCTTAAGTACTGGGATCCTGGCAGCATAGCGTTTTGCAAGTTAAGGGTCTTGACCTTGACCTTAGTCCTGACCTCAGATCCCAGATTGACCATACCAACCATTTGATCTTTGGCAAGTTACTTAATCTGTCCGAACCTTAGTTTCTTCCTCTGTTGAAAGCAATAATAATGGTGTCTATCTCAGAGCTTATAAGGATTAAGTGAGCTAATGCATGAAAAGTACTTAGCAAGGTGCCTGGCATATATGCTAGGTATTATTATTTAGCTCTAATTTGAAGCTCTTCTCAGATGACAGTTAAAATTGAACTTAAGGAGGGGCACCTGGCTGGCTTGGTCAGTGGAGCATGCTACTCGTGTTGTTTGAGCCCCATGTTGGATGTAGAGATTACTTAAAAAAAATAAGTTGAATGTAAGGCACTTGGGGGTTCACTGACATCTAAGCAAACCATACCTTAAAGTTGTGTGGGTGTGCTCTATTCCTTCTGACAGGCAGCTCCAGAGGCTTCTCTGTCAGCTCTGTCTCTCCTGGTAAAAAAAATATATAATGTGTATATATATATACACATATATATGTATCTGTATATATAAGTTTGTGGCTTTTTTAGGACTCAGCATGCTAAAGCTGAGAAGGGGTGATGGGTGGTGATTTTCCATCATTTGTCGACATGTCCTGACACTCCCTTTTCCTTGCTAACCGTTTCACCAGGCTGGAGTCAAGAGAGGGCAAACCAGAAGGCCCAGCTTTGGGTCTGACTCCAAGACGACTGGCTGGGAGGAAAACTTAACAGGCAAAACAGGCTTCTGAGGCACAGTGGAACAGTGAGACTACAGCATTGGTGCCCTGGTGACAGTCCCTACTGAAGAAGCACCTCAGCTATATATTTGGCCCAAATAAAGATCACGCCACCTAAAGGGAGAGTGCTGGGCAAACCAGAGGTGGAGATGGCAAAGCAGGAACAGAAATGCTGCCACAGTGAACAGGAAGCAGGACAACTTGACTAGGCCAGAGTTCTTTGCCTCAGGGAACCTCTGCTCAAGTTTCAGGAGTTCATACCTACCCCCTTCACCTAGGATCCCTGCTATACAGTGAGTAACTGCTCTGTGCGAAGCCTGGAACCAAATGCTGGTGTGTAGGTGGCTGAGAACAACAGCCATTTTCTTACAGCGGAGTTGGGGAGAATAGCCTAGCAAAAACAAAACTACGTTTTATGTTCTGTGCTTGTGAAGTACACCAGAAGGTTTTCAAATGGGATCGTCTCCCAGCCGCCCTGTGAAGCAGCCAGGATAGTGACGTTAAGGATGAGTAACAACCTGCTCAAAGAATGCCCTGCCTGTGTCCCAGGACACAAACTCATGGCTAGGTTAGGATTCATTTCTTCCTTTGATTTGGAGTCTCTTCCACTGTCAGTACTCCCCTCATTCATATTTTATGAGCTTGATTTGCAGAGAAGAGCATTGTCAGAGGGGCTTCCTAGAGAAAGTTCCATTAATTGCCGTCCCATCTGATCATTAGGTTCTCAAGTGGAAGGACAGCAGAAAGAAATGGATTGTGATGTAAATCTATATTATCAGAGATACTTAGGTAACTGCTCAGCTACAGTTCTGCAAGTGCCATACTGGAACTCCGCATTGTAATTTACACATTTTGTTCATGTGAAACGTGTGAGGTTCTGAGTTGGCTGTCAGGGCACCTTTGAGGAGGAAGGCTTGCCTCACAGAGTGTAGGCGCGATCACTACAGCTGCACAGGTACCTGAAGTCGGCACTGTGAGTTCTGTGAGAACCGGAGGAGCTGTGTCCCTTAGCCCACTGGGCCCCTGCAGGCTAATCTCTCTCCTGTCTGGTACTGTGGAGCTAGCAGTCTTCCTGCCCTCCCTCCACTGTCACCCCCCCCCAACCCACTTTCCCACAGGACTACAGATTTATTTTTCTTAGCCGTGTCTTTCCTGGGCTTCCCAGCTTGGACTTCCTTCATCTATTGGGATTTTCTTCTGTGGTGTCTCCCAACTATTTGCTGACTTCTCCCTTCTGTTTCCCACTAGGAACCCTCCCATCTCATCACATTAAACTCACTTTTCTCTTTCACACCCCTTCCTTTCTGCCTACTCCCCCAATACACGTCTGTGCACAAAACTGCACATTTATGCCTTTGATAATTCCCCTTCAGGTTTACCCTGTTTCCCTCTTCTCAGGCTTTTCCAGTACTGATTATCTGTAAACACAAGAATGAATTTCAAGGCCAGTTACTTAACCTCTTAAAGACTGTTTTCTCATCTATAAAATGGCGCTGTTAATCCCTCAGGGTAGAATGAGGGTACAGTTTTTAAAATGAAGCTGGATAGTCTTTGTAAGAGTGTGTGTACACTTCAACATAAGCATTTCGCCCCAGCTACCTCCCCCTTCACATACACACATCCTATTTACAGAGTGCTGGGGGAGGTGGGAGTGTAGCGTGGGCCCTGCTGTCTAGCAATCTGCAGTCACACACAGCAGCCCAAGCTACGAGATTGTATATGATGAAGTGCCAAACGGAGCTTTGGGTAATTCAGGGAAGAGAGATGACATGTCTTTCCCAGGGTCCTTTTAGTTAAATAATGACAGAGCCATTTGAATCTTGTGCTCCCTCCTTCAGGCCAATGTGCATCTGCCTCTTCTACCCCCTGCCTCTCCAGAGCTCAGACTCTCAGGCACATGCAAGAGTCAGTTACCTATGTCCCTGTAGCCTTCAGCATTTTAGTCCTGCTCTTCGGCCCATTACAATAATGTCATGGATGAGGGAGGGGGAGGATCAGGCCAGGTCATGGCTAGAGCCCCGGTTTGATTCAAACCCTAGAGGGGTCTTTAACAGGCCATGAGGCAAAGGTATAGCCCGAGTTGCCAGGAAACTGCAGCACCAAAGGTTGCATGGGAGGACCATCCTGGACCCCTGGTTGGGAAGTTGATTCTGAGGGGGGCTTCCTAGATTGCTTCTAGGTGAGGTGACTGAGCCTAGGAGGGACAGGATATCATTGCCTATGAGGAGAGTTAACTGGAAGACCTGGAGTAAGAATGATGTTCAACATGAGCTGGAAGGGAAGGCAGTTATCTGAGTGACCCAGTCCCTGAGGAGGTAAACCCTGGTTACCATAAGGTTTGGTTGAGTGGACAAGTGCAAACCCTTGTGGCTTATTTATCCAGAAAAACAGCATTGTCTTTGTGAACTTCTGGTCAGGCCGTTACTTCATCCCACCAAGCCCGACCCACTCAGACTTCAAGCTGAAGGACCAAGCAGCTGGAGGCTCTTGAGCTGGGAATTCAGGCCCTGTTCTGTGTTCAGAGCTGCCCCAACGCTCGGCCTCCACCTACCGTGGCCCACTGCACCCTAGGCCGAGAGCAGAAGAGAGTGGCAGGCGCGCAAGAAGTGAGGTCCAGATTAGAAGACAGGTTAGAGGGCCCTCGGAAAGTTAAGTCCCCAGAGAACAGTTTTGTAAGTCCCCAACAGTAAAGTCGGAGGGGTCCTAGGGCTAGAGGGGAGAGAAGGTGGGTTTTAAGCCTGTCGAGGGCGCACGGCGTGATGAGGCCACCACCAGGGGGCGATACGGAGGCCACGGCCCTTGGGGACGGAGGACGCCAGATGCCCGGAGGTCGTGGGAGTCTTGCCGCAAACCTCCTCTACTGTGTAGGGTGGGGGGCATAAAAGAAGAGAGCGGCGCCCTTCCCTGCACGCCATCCAGTCGGCCCCGCCTCCCTGGCCCCGCCTTCCAGCCCCCGCCCCACCCCCCGGCTCCGCCTCCACCCCCGCCCCGCCTCCGGCCGCGGCCCCTTCCTCCCGCAGCTGGTGCTGTGGGGCCGCGGAGCAGCGCGTCGCCGTCTCTATGGCCAGGGATCCGAGCGCGAAGGTGAGAGAGGCAGGGAGTGCGGGCGGCGGCGGGGCCTGGGCCGGGGGGCGGAGGCCAGGCCAGGCCTTCCCCAGGTCCATTCCACCCTCCAAGCTGGGCCAGGCCTTTCTCAGAGCCAAGTCTCCCGGTCCCGCATAAAGGCTCTGGGGGCGGGCGGGGGGGGCGCGGGCCAGGCCTCGGGCAGTGCTGGACGCAGACCCGCCACCGCGGAGTCGGGGACCGGCGCGGGGCGGGGACCCGCGTGGCGAACAGTGTTCCCTGGGATCTGGGTCACGTCTCCTGGCGTCCGGCGGGATCGAAGGAGAGCTTGTCCTCGACCTGCAGCAGTAGACCCTGAGATTAGATGTGAGGAGAGGGAAGACGCGCGGACTGTCCAGGATGGTGGAAAAGAGGGTGGCGGGGGAGGGGCTCTCAGGCCAGAAAGACGGCCATCCTACTGGGCAGAGGGGGATGCCGCCTACACTAAGCAGGTGGACATCTGGGATGAAGGTCGAGAGCCTGCTGATCCAACATCGATCCTGTTTTGGGGGGAGGGGGTGTCTCCCCTCCTCAGTTTCTTCAGCCCTAGGATCTAATAGTCGGAAGGTGACCAGAGTTCAGGGGGCTGGCCCTGGGTAGGAACCCAAACTGTGGAACTGGGGGTGGAGTGTGGGGTGTGGGCTGGAGACCTTGAAGCCTTGTGGCCACTGGGGGAGGGAGGGCAGCAGCTCCGCCCCCCCGTTTAGCCCCTCCCTCCCTCCAACAGGTTAAACGGGGATTGAGAGCCCCTGTCCAACTCCCACATCTAGAACAGCAGCATATACATCGGAGTAGACCAGCGCTAAGTTACACGTCCCATTCCATCCTTCCTTTGCTAAAGCTAGGGGCCTCCTTTCGCCTGGGTTCGGTACCCCCTCCCTCCTTTGCAGAGAGGCCCATCCCATCCGAGCATCTGAGGTGAGATGCCTCCCCACATCACTACACACACACTTAGAATCTGGCCTTAAAATTGGGACTTTCGGGAAGGGAGGAAGGGTCTGCTCTGCACCTCAGTGGATACTGGCAGCCTCCAAGCCTGCAGTGAGAACTGGACCCCTGTTTGTACATACGCTTGTCTCTGCATACATGTAATTGTGTGTTTGAGTACTGTGTGAACACACATTTACTTGACCCTTCTATGAACATGAACATGCCTGACCTACTGTATTGGGTTTGTGTGCATGTCCCTACACATATGTGTGTATGTGCTGGACCTTTCTGTGAATAGGTGTACAATCCTTCATATGCACATGTGTAGGTTTATAACCTTCCTTGTCAATCTCTGAGGCTGTGTAACCTGCTGAATGAATGGATATGAATATGTGAATACAACCTGATTTGTCAATGTGTATGAACACATCTGGCAGGCCCTTTATATGAACATATACATGCACAAACCTCCCTGTGAATGTATGTTTGCATGACTCTCCTGTGAGTACATGTGCTCACAGCCCTTCTGTGAACATGTGTGTATGTGAACCTATTGCATGCACATCACCCCTCTCTGGATTATGTGTGACTTTTGCCATGAACCACACTCTGAGTGGTTCCTCTGACCTGGGGTGTGTTCCTCTTGCCCAATCCTAGGGACTGATACCTCATAGCCATAGGGCTCCCCCCGCTTCTGCACTAAGCAAATAGGAGGCCCCAAAGGTAAACAGGTGTGCCTCCACAATGAGAGGCGGGGCATGGGCAGTTTGCCTGGGACTTCCTGCTGCCCAGCCCCCACACGAGGAGTGGATGCCCTTTCTGTGGTCCAAGGACCCTCTTCTCCACTCATACTACATTCTCCCCTTCTGGGCTCTGACCACTACAGTGCTGACCTTTACCTCTTAAATAAATGCTCCAAATTTCTGTTCTCCCCCTGGCCAGTTCCTGGTCCTTCCCTTCTCTTCAAGGCCACATAGTTAATATTTGACCTGGAAAAGAGGGGAGAGGCCAGTGGCCCCTGTGGCCCTGTCTGTGGGTGTCTGATGAGATTGGGTGGGTCAAGCTTCCTTCATACCCAGCCCAGTCAAGGAAGCTTTCAAGAGCCACCTCAGAGATCAGGCCTATTACAGGGGTCACAAAAGGCCTGCCACCTACTTCCACCCCATCCGCAACTGGTTGGCTTGAGTGTCCTGGTGTGGGAATAGTCTCCAAGATGTGCCAGGGGAGGTGGCCAAGAACTCAGGGATCTCATCATTCACCTTTTCCACGTTGCTTATGTCTCAACTGGTCTTGCACACTAGAGCCTCTGGCACAGACTCTATACCTGTGCAACCAGGGGGCCCAGATGCCAACCCCCCCATGTCTGTGAGTGCCTGTTTGCAGGTAGGGGCATGTGTGGATGCCTAGCCAGAGGGTGCAGTACAGACTCGCATGGGCAGAGTAGAGATGTTCACCCCCTTGGAGAGGAATGCTGAGGAGGAGAAGTGTCTAATTAAAGAGAAATTCCAGAGGGAGCTCTCAGGCCAGGGAGAAGAAAAAACAAAGGGAAAACAGGATAAAATAAACAAAGGCCCATTAAATGTCTCTGCCCAGCCTTCTTGCATAAGGCACCCCCGCAGGCAGCAGGGGCAGCTGCGGTCCCAAGTTTGGTCTCATTGTTGGTAGGAGAAGGCATTCTCCCTGAAACGGAGCTCTAGTCGAGATGGAGACCTAGCTTAGCTTCTGACTTGGTCAGAGGAGGGCCATTACTTTGCGTTTGGGCTGGGAGGAGTCTAGGGTCTTGTAAGGAGGGCAAATTCTGCCCAACTTGCCTCAGAGCAGAGAGGTAGACAGAATGACAGTGAGCTGATCCTGATGTGGGATTCTGTGGGCCTTCTCCCACCAGTGCCCCCTGAAGTCTGGGGGTAATGCCATCTACCTTCTCCCACACACAGATAAAAGAGCTTTTTTTTTCCTGTTTTTTCTTCAGAAAACAGACCTCAGAGAACCAGGACTAGTCCTTCTGTCGGGGCAGGGTGACCCCATCAGTGACCTACAACCCCTGTATGACCCTACAACTCCCTCCCACCATGGAGTTTGTATTTGATGCAGAAAGGCAATGTGTGATCCATCCCTCCCTCTGACCTCTAACCTGGGATTCCATGGCCACACAACCCTGTGATTCCATGTCCCCTCGATTCCAGGACCCTCCCTGGCCCCATGACCCCTGACCTTCCAAGTGACCTCTCTGGACCTTGACCCCCGTGACTGTTCTTCCCATCATCCCCTGTGACTCTGGCCCTGGCTCCCCTTGGGGGGTCTTACTGGTCTGGGCCTCCCAAGGAAAATGTGGGGGAGGCTCTGGCCCCTCTTCCTGAGCTTCCTCACAGCAACTGCAGTCCCTGGACCCTCACTGCGGAGGCCATCCAGAGAACTAGATGCCACCCCACGGATGACCATCCCCTATGAAGGTTAGACACCCCTCCCCCAACTTTGAAAGGCAGAGGGAGCCAGGTCTGGGAGTAGAGAGGCAGCCCCAGGGCCGGGCTCACTGCTCCCACTCTCCAGAGCTCTCCAGGACCCGGCACTTCAAGGGTCAAGCCCAGAACTACTCAACACTGCTACTGGAGGAATCCTCCGCAAGACTGCTGGTTGGAGCCCGAGGTGCCCTGTACTCTCTCAATGCCCGTGACATAGGAGATGGGGCTCACAAAGAGGTTAGCCCCCAGAGCCTGGAGTACCTGGAAGGTCTCCAGCTTTATAGCCCTCTGGTCAGATAGCACTGCCCTTCCCAAGTCAGGTCTCCTTTACCATCCAATGGCACTCCTGACACTTCTGTACCCCAGTTTCCCCTGTTTCCTGCAGTCCTGTCACCTGGTCCCACAGACAATGGTGAAAGACAAGGGAACTGGGGTTAGCAAATCAGCCCATTCCTTTCCCCGTCTCCAGATCCGCTGGGAGGCCTCCCCAGAGATGCAAAGCAGATGTCATCAGAAGGGGAAAAACAACCAGGTATGTGGTCTGCCCTGTCCCCAGCTCCTTTCCTTCTCTTCACTTGGGGATGTCAGGGTTGGTGGGGACACAGATGGAGAGGTATGGATCGGCCAGTCAGTTGCAGCAACCACAACAAACACGTGAGTGTAGCTGGAGTGGCAGGCCCTAGGTGCAGCACTTCTAAGCCAAGCATCTGGCGACCTACCAGCTTGGCCCATAGTGGCCTCTTAACCTCTTCTGGGCTCCTGAATAATAATCATGAGAGCAATAAGTAATCTCTAGTAAATGCTGACTTAGCTGTTATCTCTCCTAATTCTAAAATAACCCTATGAAGTAGTTTTGTCCTCCATTTTACAGATGTAAAAAATGAGGTTTGGTCAAGGAATCGCTCAGGTACCCGGTATACCATGGAGGGGTGGTAGTGAATTACTACCTCTTTCTGGCTAAAGAACAGGGTGTCTGCAGGGGTCCCAGGTCGGGCTATGGAACAGATGCCTCTGGAGAGCTTTTTAAGAATACACATCCCCAGGGGCGCCCGGCTGGCTCAGGCAGTAGAGCGTGCAACTCTTGATCTTGGGGTTGTGAGTTCAAGCCCCACATTGGGCATAGAGATTACTTAAAAATAAATAAATAAGAAAAGAAAAGAAAAAACACATTCCCTGGCCCAAGGATTCTGATTCTGATTCCGTGGGTCTGCGGTGGGATAGCTGTATTTAAAGAGGCACCTCTAGGGGCGCCCGAGTGGCTCAGTCAGGTTGAGTATCTATGACTCTTGGTTTCAGCTCGGGTCATGATCTCAGGGCCATCAGGGGGCCCAGATGCCAACCCCCCCATGTCTGTGAGTGCCTGTTTGCAGGCTCTCACAAAAGCTCAGGGCCGTGGGATGAAGCCCTGCTTTGGACTCCCCACTCACCCCACTCGGCTCCTCTGGTTCCTGGGGCTCCCGCTCAGCAGGGAGTCTGCTTCCCCTCCCCCTCTCCCTCTGCCCTTCCACCTGCTCGTGCTCTCTCCCTCTAAAATAAAACAAAACTTTAAAGAGGCACCTCTAAGAGACCATCAAAGATGCCTGCTGGTACAGCCTGTGGCATGGGCAGAAAGCGGGGCTGGTGAGGCAAGTGGAGCCCAGGTCACAGAACACTGTAAGTGCCCAGCTCGGGGGATGGCATTTACCCTGTGACAACGGACACCCTCACCACTTGGTACTTTATAGACTCTCCAATTTTAGTGTGCACATGAAGCCCCAGGGTATGTTATAAATGCAGATGCTAACTCAGTAAGCCTGGGGAAGGGCCCAAGATTTGGCAGTTCTAACAAGCTTCCAGAGGAAACTGATGCTGCCGGTTCCCAAGCCACACTTGAGGTAGCAAAGCTTTAGGAGAACACTTCCCAAAGCATGTGCTGAGGAACGCTGATTTTCAAAAGAAGGGCTTAATGGCCACATGAGTTTGGGAAGTGCTGTATGCTCAATCCCACAATGCACAGCAACATCCTTAAGGCTCTGAAAAATCCCCTGGAAAGGCAAGTTTTAGCCATGGTTTCCAACTTGTCTGACCACAGAGTTCCTCCCTCACCCCCCTTTTCTTATGTAAACATCCTGGGGAAACACTACTACAGGAATATTAATCCTGCCCCAGGCACTAGAAGGATTAAAATAGAGTGAGTCTGGAGGCAGGAAAGACAATGGGGGTTGGGAGCATCATGGGGGTCGGAGGAGGGAGAGCTGAGCAGGCTAGTGGAGAGAAGGGGCAGATACACCGAGGGAGGGAATGGGATGAGACAAAGCGGTCTGCGTGGATTCAAACCCTGGGTAACAGGCAGGAGGAAGAATCATTAACAAGCCAAAGAAGTCAAGGTCTCAGCTTACGGCGGCATTTAATGGGCGGAGAAGAGCAGTGTGGCTGGAGGGGGTGAGGCAGGGACAGAGCCCTATCATGCAGGGGCAGAAGTGGTGCGACCCCATGTTCAGGACTCTGGTGAGCCACCAAAGTTTTTTTTAAATACAGCAGTGACATGATTTGGTTTACATTTTTAAAATACACCTTGGAAAGTGGGTTGCCAGAGGGTGCTGATGGGTAGAATATCTCTGGAAGGAGACTGCAGACAACAGTAACAGCAGTCCCCTTTGAAGGCAACAGGGATAAAAGGAGATGCTCTGTTTACAACATATCCCTTTGTACCTTTTGAATTTTACACTGCATACATGTATTCCTCATTCACTGGATAAATAGGTAGCTTTTATAGAGTGGTGGAGGCTTGGGAGAACAGTCAGGCAGTCCCTACATTTGTTCAGGGAAGAGGTGACAGCGGTAACGTGGACTAGGGTGGTGGAGGTGAAGGGGAAGTGGACCACATCAGGAGACACTTAACGACAAAGAATCCTGGAGAAGGACTGAATGTGGGGTGAGGGAGTGGGAGCAGCAAGGCTGACTCCTGGTATCTCGACTGAGTAATAGGATGGACGGATGGAGTGAAGTGGGAAAGACTGGATGAACAGGTTTAGGAGGGAAGATGTGGGTTAGGGAGGACGGAACGAGCTTGGTTTGTGACAAGGTGAGTTTGATGTGTCTGTGGGCTATCAGATGGAGAGAGGGCCAGAGCCTGGGGATAGATTTGGTAGTGTCACCCCAAAGGGCATGTGGGGGCTCCAGGACGGGGGCACTGCTGAGAAGGAGATGTGAGAGAAGCATCTCAGGGCGGCGGGAGCCCTGGGGGCCCCAGAACTGGGGATGCGGGGGCCTGCGGGAAATGCAGGAGAAGCTGGCTAAGTGTTTCAGGTAATCCTAACAGTGAGAGAGAAGCAAGAAGAGGGCTCATGCCACTGGGAAGCCAAAGGACAGTGAGTGCCAGGGAGCAGTCTGTGTCCTGGACAGTGAGCAGGCCCACTGGGATCTCACAAAGAACCATGACCTGTGGTGGGGGCAAGAGCTGGACGACAAAGCTGGATTGATTAATTGAAAAGGCCTCTAAGCAGGCTGGGAGCTCACAGCCCTCCCCCACCCACCCCACAGACGGAGTGCTTCAACCACGTGCGATTCTTTCAGCGGCTCAACACCACCCACTTCTACGCATGTGGGACTCATGCCTTCCAGCCCCTCTGTGCAGCCATTGTGAGTATGCCTGCCCCAGCCCTGATTGATGGTCCCAGGCCCTGGCCCCTGGTCTGTGGCCCTTCGTGGTCCCAGACTGGTCTGACCTTGGGCCACACCCCTGCCTGTCCTGGAGACCACTGACTTCTGGCCCCATATTCCCCCAGGATGCTGAGGCCTTCACCTTGCCAACAAGCTTTGAAGAGGGGAAGGAGAAGTGTCCTTACGACCCAGCCCGTGGCTTCACAGGCCTCATCATTGGTGAACATGCTGTCCTCCCCACCCCGGCCCCTCACCCACCAGAATGCTACTTGTGGGACATGGATCCCGTTGCTAGGACTTGCCACCCGTGTATGTTATGCGCCTTGTTGTATGTGACATGTCTTATGCTTGGCATGTCTCTGCTCCAGATGGAGGCCTCTACACAGCCACACGGTATGAATTCCGGAGCATCCCTGACATCCGCCGGAGCCGCCACCCACACGCCCTGAGGACTGAGGAGGCACCGATGCACTGGCTCAACGGTCAGGAGATTGAGGCACAGGATGCTGGGGGAGGGGCCAGGGGACTATTCATTTTTACTCCCTTGGGCAGTTGACCATCCCCTTCCTAAATTCCCAGGTGAACCTGTCTATTCCTTTGTGGTGCTGACTGAGGGGTAGTGGTGGAGGGGATCCCCAGCCTGTCTCAGAGGCCACTTGAACTGTCCAACCCACAGATGCTGAGTTTGTCTTCTCTGTCCTGGTGCGAGAGAGCGAGGCCAGCGCAGTGGGTGATGACGACAAGGTTTACTACTTCTTCACGGAGCGTGCCACTGACGAGGTCCCCAACAGCTTTGCTCAGAGCCGCAACAGCCACCGTGTAGCCCGTGTGGCCCGTGTGTGCAAGGTGAGTAGGACCAAGTCCAGGGCAAGAGTGTAGAAGCTGAACCTTTGACCCTGACCCCGTGCCCCTGCCTCCCCAGGGAGACCTGGGAGGAAAGAAGATCTTGCAGAAGAAGTGGACCTCCTTCCTAAAGGCGCGTCTCATTTGCCACATACCCCAGTATGAGATGCTACGTGCTGTCTGCAGCCTGGACACTGACACCTCAGCCCGCACGCACTTTTATGCGGCCTTCACGCTGACCACACAGTGGTCAGTGCAGGGACAGTGGGGAGAGGAGGAACTGGGGACAGCATGGGGGCTGAGCAGAGGTCAGTGAGGATACGATAGGATCCCTTATGGGGAGGCTGGCTGCAGAGAGAGACTTTCAGGTACACCCAGTTAGCCTGGGGCCAGAGGCCACAGTGGCCTGCTGACCTTTGGAGAGGTCCTAAGGCCTAGAGCTGGGGTCGGCCAGGGTAACAGCAGGCTCCAGGCTGGGCAGGTGGCAGGGGGGCAGGTTCCACTCAGTGTGGCTCAGCCCCTTCCCCTATGTCCCTTCCTAGGAAGACCCTAGAGGCCTCAGCCATCTGCCGCTATGACCTGGCCGAGGTGCAGGCTGTCTTCGCAGGTCCCTACATGGAATACCAGGATGGTGCCCGGCGCTGGGGCCGCTATGAGGGTGGGGTGCCGGAGCCCCGGCCTGGCTCAGTGAGTGCCCAAGCCTAGGGTCGGCGCTGGGTGGACAGAACCCCTGGGAGGGGCAGAAGGATCTAGCCTTGGGGGTGGCGGGGGACAGCAGGCAGTCGATTCCTGAGGTTCACCACCTCCGTCCTCCACCCCAGTGCATCACAGATTCATTGCGCACCCGAGGCTACAACTCATCCCAGGATTTGCCATCCCTGGTCCTGGACTTTGTGAAGTTGCACCCACTGATGGCCCGGCCCGTGCTGCCCACACGCGGACGGCCCCTGCTGCTCAAGCGCAGTGTGCGCTACACGCACCTCACGGGGACACCTGTCACCACGCCGGCCGGGCCCACCTATGACCTGCTCTTCCTGGGCACAGGTACTTCTGACCCCTGGTCTGAGCCCTTTGGTAACTGAGTCCTTGATCCCCGTTGACCGCTAATCCCCTGGATGACTTTTGATCACAAAACCCTGGTGGCCATTGATGTTGATTCTTCATTGAATACTCACTACTGGTCCCCGATGACCACTGGCTCTGGGTAACTGCTGACTCCTGTCACCAAACACAGTGATATTTGACCCTGATCCCTAATCATGTCTGCCATGACTAGCCCAGAGTTCCCAGCGTCCTGAGGAACTGCTACTGGCTGAGTCCTTGTCCCTGATCTCATGACTCCCGAGCTGCTCCCATTAGGCTATTGCAGGGGACCAAAACCAGATTCCACTATTGGGTTCTGACCCTCTGCCCACTCCGTACCAGTCGATGGCTGGATCCACAAGGCCGTGGTGCTGGGCTCTGGGATGCACATTATCGAAGAGACGCAAGTGTTCAAGGAGCCCCAGTCTGTGGAAAATCTGGTCATCTCTCCAATGCAGGTAGCCTCTGACTCATGACCCTCAATATGGCTTTGCCAGAATAGGGGGAGGGAGTGGGTGGCTGGGCAGTGGCCGTGTGTGTCTGTAGGTGGGAGTTGGGGGTGTTGCCAACCAGCTTTGCTCTCTGGCTCCCAGCATAGCCTCTATGTGGGGGCCCCTAGTGGAGTCATCCAGCTACCACTGTCTAGCTGCTCCCGCTACCGCTCCTGCTATGACTGCATCCTGGCCCGGGACCCCTACTGTGGCTGGGACCCCAGCACCCATGCCTGCACCATATTCAGCAGGTCCCAGGGGAGCAGGTGAGAGGTGGGGGGGGGGCGGTGAGGGTCCCATGTGAGCAGGGAATCAGGGCCTGAGGGGAGGAGGAAGGCCTGCCGGCTGTGGGGGACGTGGGGGCAGTTGGCGACAGCCTCATGGATGCTGCCGCTGGGGAAAACTAAAGCTCAGTTCCCCTGTTCCTGAATCCAGGACAGCCCTGATACAGGACATGGAGAGAGGCAACCGAGGCTGTGAAGGCAACAGGGACACAGGTAAGTGACCTTCACAGGCTGCACAGCCTGTCCTCTCTACATTGATTGTCATTTACCTGTGCATGTGTGTCCGAACGGCTGCGTCTGTGGGCTTTCATCCAGGATGTCCCAGCGAAGTTTGGCAGAGTAAGCGCTTCACAGACGGTTGTTGCCCAAAAGAACCATAAATGAGGAGACAGGCTCAAGATGGGAAGTCTTTGTCACTTCTGGAGCCTAGAGCCAAGTTGGGTGGGGGGGCAGACAATTAAATGATCACCCAAATAATTATTTCATTGGTTTTTGTTACAAAAGGAATACTAACAACTATGACAAGGGTTTGAAGGATAATGGGTACTTCCCTGAGGAAAATCAGATGACTGAGCTGATGCCTAAAGAGCAGAAGTTAATCGCCACAGTGAACATGTACTGAGTACTTACTCGTGACATGTGTTGACTGAACACTTACACACACGGTCTCACTTACTCTCCCAGCATCCCTGGGGGACAGGTGCCACGATCCCCGTCCCCATGAGGGGCAATCTCTCTGAGGTCCAGGGAGAATAAGTAAACCACCCAAAATTAATAAGCTATTAAGTGGCAGGGTCAGAATTCAAACCTGACCCCAGGCGGCCTGACTCGAGTTTGTGCTTTTCATCACTGCTGTGCTCTTTCCTCCAAGTGAACCAGTGGAGGGCGTGGAGGGGGGGCAGCACCCGAGCAGAAGGAACAGCAGGCAGATGAGCTTGGTGTGTTTGAGAAGGGGCTGGAGAAGTGGGCAGGGACCACGTTGAGGGAGGGGAGCGGCATAATCAATACGGTGTTTTTAAAAGGATACCCCCACTGCTGCATGGAGAATGGATTAGATGGGGGCCAGAGTGGGCCGGCTTCCCCAGTTGGGGAAGGAGAGAAGTGAACAGGTCTGAGATGGATTCTGGAAGCAGAATCTTGGTGAGGGTTAGATACAATGGTGAGGGGGAGAGAGAGGCAAGGGAGACTCCCAGGTTTCTTTCTAACTTAAACAGCTGAGTAGCTAGTGGTGCCATTCACTATGATGACAATTCAAGGAAAAGACCTGGTATAGTTTGGGAGGGAGGCTTTGGCCTTAGTTCCTGTGCCATATGTCCAAGAGGCCTCACACGGAGATGCCCTGCAGGTGGAAGATGTTAGAGTCTGACAGTCAGGAGAGAACCCTGGGCTGGAGGTCAAGATTACAAATCACTGGCAGATAGCAGGAATTGAAACCACTGGGAAGGGCCAGTGCGAACCTTACATGGGAGCATGAGCGCAGGAGACCTTGGTCAGTTGTCACCGTGATTCCAGAGACTGTGCTTGGTGCTAGGGATGCTAACAGTGAACCATCTGGCCTGCCATCTCCAATGCCCTCCCTGAGATAGACAAGCATTGACCACTCCTGTTTCTCACCCCCCTCCAGGGCCACCACCACCACTGAAAACCCGCTCTGTGCTCCGAGGGGATGATGTCCTCCTGCCCTGTGACCAGCCATCCAACCTGGCCCGGGCCTTGTGGTTGCTCAATGGGAGCATGGGCCTGAGTGATGGGCAGCATGGCTACCGCGTGGGCGTGGATGGGCTGCTGGTGACAGACATACAGCCTGAGCACAGTGGCAACTATGGCTGTTATGCTGAGGAGAATGGCCTCCGCACCCTGCTGGCCTCCTACAGCCTCACAGTCCGGCCAGCCACTCCTGCCCCAGCTCCACAAGCTCCTGCCATGCCTGGGGCACAGCTGGCCCCTGACGTGAGGCTGCTCTATGTGCTAGCCATCGCTGCACTTGGCGGCCTCTGCCTCATCCTAGCTTCCTCCCTCCTCTATGTGGCCTGTCTTCAGGGAGGCAGACGAGGCCGTCGAAGGAAATACTCTCTGGGTCGGGCTGGCCGGGCAGGGGGCTCTGCTGTGCAGTTGCAGACTGTTTCAGGCCAGTGTCCTGGAGAGGAAGATGAGGGTGATGATGGGGAGGGGCCTGGGGGACTGGAAGGTGGCTGCCTCCAGATCATCCCTGGGGAGGCAGCCCCAGCCCCACCGCCTCCACCACCCCCACCCCCACCAGCTGAGCTGACCAATGGGCTGGTGGCTCTGCCCAGCCGGCTGCGCAGGATGAACGGCAACAGCTACGTGCTCCTGAGACAGAGCAACAATGGAGCGCCAGCAGGGCCCTGCTCATTTGCCGAGGAGCTCAGCCGCATCCTGGAGAAGAGGAAACACACGCAGCTCGTGGAGCACCTGGATGAGAGCTCTGTCTGAGCCCAGCCTCCTAGGACAAATGCTCTTCCAAGCCAGCCTGTCTGCCCCAGGCTGGGCTGCTGCTTCCCCAACACAGCCACTCTACCTTCACCGCCCCCTCAACTCCAGGCCCTTCTCCCAACTTTTTGATGTCCCTGTAGGGCTGGCAGAGTCAAGCCCAGCCAAAGCCCCCTCCTCAGTCTCCACAGACCCATCTGTGAGCAGCCCAGGCCAACCGGTGCTCCTCAGAGGTGGGTACTCCCTCGGGACCTGGTGTTCTGTAGACCCAGTCCCAATTCCTATTCCCTTAACCCAAGCACTCGGGAGGAGAGGATGCCATCCTCCTGCCCCATTTGTCTGCTCAAACCCTTCCTCTTTCTCCCAGGCAGGGCTCTGCAGGTCCAGATGACCTCAATGTCACCACCCTCGCATGGCCCTATGTGCTGGACGGTCCCGAAACCAGACGAGACCTCTGCCAGCCACCAGAGCCACCTGAGCCCTGCGTACATTCACACATGCACATGGATGAATGTCTGTCAGCTGGGCTGCAGGGCCCCCACCCCCATCTCCTGGTGCATTCTTGTGTTTCATTTCTGCTGGACTTTGGGTACCCTTCCAATTGCCACATCCCATCCTATCTAGTCCTCTCCCCTAGTTCCAGCCCCATGTGGTGACCTCTTTGGCAAGAGCTTGGGAACAGGCCAGCCTGGGGAGGTAAGACTGTAAGACTGTGTCATTCCCCTCTTCTTCCTTAATGTGCAGCCCTCGTGAGTCAGCCCCCCCACCCCCTTGGTCACTTTCAAGAGTGACAGACAGAGCCCCAGGCATGTCCCTTCACGCACATGTGCTTACATTTCCACATGCATTTCTGAGCCTCCCTTTGCTGCCTCGAACCTGTGTCTGTTGGGTTTGGTCCACGGACGTTTCAGAGGGAGAGCCCTCTCCTGTTCAGCTGTCCTCTCAGACGTTTCCCTAGGACGGGTGACCAACACTGCAATGAGCCAGCCTCCCTTTTGGGGACCAAGCATTTGCTACCCCTAGACCAGAGCAGGGGGAGGAGATCTGATGTGTCTCACCTGGCACATGAAGCCCGTTCTTGGAACTATGCAAAGGGCAGAGGCTGGGAGTTTGGATGCTTGGCTCCCATCCCTGTCCTACCTCACCGGGGCACTTTCAGGGTCCAGGGGCCTCTAAGGTCTCCAGGCCCATATGGGACAATCAAATCCTGACTGAGCTCCCCCGTTCCCCTTGGGTGAGGATGACTGTTATTTTTGTAGCTGAGAACGTGGAATCCCCACAGATTTTTACTGCCCTTCACCCAATCTCTCCCACCTCCACCCCACAATGAATGTATTTATTGTGAGAACGGCTATACTTCTTTAGGAATGCCCCCACTCACCACCCAGGTGGGCAGAACAGGCATGTGACAGAGTGGGGAGCCTGGGCTCAGCTCCTCCCCCTCCTGTTGGTTAATAAATACCCTCTCTCCCCACAGCTATGTGTGTTCTGCTTGGTCTAGATTGGCCTTCCCTGATCACCAGGGGGCAGGCTCCTGAGCCTGGAAACAGTGCTGCAGGGTTGGCTCTGCTCCCCATAAAACCATTTGCAGAGAAAACTGGGATCCTCAGCTTCCATCTGGCTGCCCTGGGCAGGTACACAGGCCTTTATAAGCCTCTCACCACTCACTGAGCACGGTGATAAGGGCATGACAAACAAAATTACAACTGTTCAAGAATTCATACAAAGGTTTCTAGGTTTTTACCTCCTCTCTTCCTCACCATTCCTCCCCCTTGTTTTAGCTGAGCCTAGAAGATGCTCCCTGTTTATCATTTCTCTTGTTCGTCCACAAGAAGCTTTTCAGTACCTCCCCTCCCCCAAAAAAGGACAACATGAATTCCTTTCTGCAGAGGGGCCTGTCTTGGGGAATAGGACAAGGGCAAGCTTGTTACCACAGATCTAACCTGAGAATCACTCTCCAAGGGTCAGGACTAGATTAATCACATGGCCTTTGACACTAACCATCCTGAAGGGTTATATGTTCTGCTTCTGGTTTTAGGATAAGGAAAAGTGAGGTTATATTTAAAATCTACACATATTTTGAAGACCTCAAGTGTAACCTCAAGCAAGTTTATTATTTTTTTTAAAGAAAGATTTTATTTATTTATTTGACAGAGACACAGCGAGAGAAGGAACATAAGCAGGGGGAGAGGCAGGGGGAGAAGCAGGCTCCCCGCTGAGCAGGGAGCCCGATGTGGGACTCGATCCAAGGACCCTGGGATCATGACCTGAGCTGAAGGCAGACACTTAACGACTGAGCCACCCAGGTGCCCTCGAACAAGTTTATTAACCTCAGTTTTCTAATCTAAACATTCACACGGATATAAAGTTACCCTAATGCCAGGTTCACAGCAGGGTATAAGATGCTAGCTCTCTAGCTCAATGGTTACAGAAACAGGACATGGTGGGGGGGGGTTCTTCAGATGCCAATCTTGAAAGCACTCGCTGGGATTTAAGATCACTGTTAATCAATCTGGATTTCAGAAATAAATGCCTGTAATATCCTTGAAGAGTCAGGTTTCAGAGATATCAAATGGGGAAGAATTAGGAGACCAACAAAGTCACTGCCCTGCCTCATGAGCAACGAAAAGACAGCTCTTCTTTATCCCAAGCAAAAGCTTTGGCGTCAGTTTCCCTTTTGGTGGGCTCTATCTGCCTGTGTGGGCTTGGAATCCCCTGAACCCAAAGAGGAAGAATCACCACCACTGGGGTAAGAGGCCAAAGCCTGGGTATTGGAGTTGTTGGGCAACTCTTCATGGCACTTGCCCCTGGGCTAGGGCAGCATCTTGGACCTCTCGCGGGCGCAGCCCACCCAACGTTGTCGGTTTGTTGGTGAAGGGGTGCCACTGGCCCTGGATGCTAGGGCTGTCCGTGTGGAAGGGCTTGCGGATGCGGATCACGTCCAAGCCCGACTGGTCCGCCAGCTTCTGCACCAGGGTCGCAATCTCCTCGACTGACTTGCAGTGGATGCTCTCCTCACGCACTGCCCCGTTAACTGGCGGAAGGAAGGGGGTCAGGGGAGAGGAAGCGGATGAATCAGGGGTCAGACCAGAGGAAGGCGAGCGGGCCCAGTCTCCACCCCCGCAACCCGCCCCCAGCCGCCCTCCAGCCCTCGTCCCGCCCCACTCACGGTATTCGGCCACTACTCTGGGCACACAGCACGGCCGCGAGTTTACGTATATTACGACCCCCGGGTTCCGTCGGGCGAAGTCGGCCACCTCTCGTTCCACGAACTCCCTGAGGAAGCCGAGAAGAGTAAGCACAGCGACTCCTGACCCGGGGCGATCTCAGCCCGGAGAGCACCCCGCGCCCTTCGCCCAGTTCACCTGGCGCCACGAGACGACGGCGCATCGCGGCTGAGGCTAAAGCTGAGACGCTGCAGCTGCTGTACGTAGCGCCCCAGCCCGTTGTGGAGGACACTGGCCAGGAAGCGGCTCGGGGTCCCGCGCGCCGTCATAGGTGCAGCGACCAGGTAGCCCAGACCGGCCTGGAGTGGCTGGGGGGCGGGGGGCGGAGGCGAACGCCGAAGCTTCCGGTTCCGGGAACACCGCGGCCGGGAGTTTTGCTTCCGCGGTCACGGCGCCGAGGCGTGCCAGTGACCCGGGTTGCGGGCGAGAGGGGCGAGGGGAGGCTAGTGACGCGCGGTCAGGGTCGCGAGCAGCGCAGCTTCTGTCAGTAGAGCCGAGGGCGGACGCGGTCGCGGGGGCGAGGTGAGCGCGGGGACTGGCGGGAGCCGCCCGGGGGCGCTCTGGTCGTGGCGAGTCCCCTTTGAGGGAAGGAGCGGCGAAGAGGGCCTCCCCTTGCGGGCTGCGCGTTGGGGTCAGGAACAAAACGCAGGCGGCGGTAGAGATGGGAACGACGAGGAGATCCCCTGACCCGGCGGGAGTGGTGAAGAGATGATCTAGGGAAAGTAGAGCGGTGAGGGGCAGTGTGGAGGATCGAAGAGGTGAGGCGGTGGCTGTACGGGACCATAGAGGTAGGGAGCCGGAGAGAGGCACACGGACGTGAAAGATGGGCGTAGATGTGAAGTAGCAATGCAGAGGGGCTGAAGAGGATTCAGAGAGATGTTTATGAGGGACAAGTTGTTAGAAAGAAGCCACCTCGAGTGGGCTCTGTAGAGTGTGCTGTGCAGAGGATCCCTAGGGTCTGACCTAGTGAAGGCACCAAAACCAGGGACGGAAAGCATTTCAATTAGTGACTTCCTCGATTTGACCAGGAATGTGGGTACTCCTTCGAGGTGGGTACCCCCTCCGTATCCTGCTACTCCTGCGTGGGGAGTGGATGGGTCGGAGGGGCCTGCCCAGAAGCTTGGTCCCAGGCTCTCCTCGAAGACGGTACAGGAAGGAGGCTCTCCCAGCCTTGGAGGTACCAGTGTTGCCTGTAACTGCAACTGAAATCCGCCAGTATTTGCGGGCACATGCGATCCCCTTCCAGGATGGCCACAGCTGCCTGCGGGCACCGAGCCCGTTTGTGAAGGCCTTGCAGCTCAAGGACCAGACTGGTGCTACTGCTTCCTTCAGCCTTTTCATTGACAAGACCACAGGCCGCTTTCTCTGCATGACCAGTCTAGCAGAGGGGAGCTGGGAAGACTTCCAGGCCAGCGTGGAGGGGCGAGGGGATGGGGCCAGAGAGGGGGTCCTGCTTGGTGAGGCCCCAGAAGCTGAGGACAGTGAGGAGGTCCGGAGGATCTGGGACCGAGCCATACCTCTCTGGGAGCTGCCCGAACCAGAGGAGGCCCAGCTGGCTCGTGTGATGTTTGGCCTTACCAAAGTGACAGATGATGCACTCAGGCGTTTCAGTGTGCGGTATTTGCGGCCTGCTCGAAGCCTTGTCTTCCCTTGGCTCTCCCCTGGAGGTTTGGGATTAAGAGGCCTGAAGCTACTAAGTGCTGAAGGCCACGGAGATGAAGTGCACTATAAGGAAACCACCATTCCCCGGCCTGGTGTCTACCACAATCTGTTTGGATTACCACTGATCAGTCGGCGAGATGTTGAGGTGGTACTGACAGGTCGAGAGCTGGACAGCCTGGCCTTGAACCAATCCACAGGAGTGCCCACCCTTGCCCTACCCCGAGGAACTGCCTGCTTACCCCCTGCCTTGCTCCCTTACCTTGAACAGTTTCGACGTATTGTGCTCTGGTTGGGAGATGACCTTCGGTCCTGGGAAGCTGCCAAGCTGTTTGCCCGAAAACTGAATCCCAAGCGATGCTCCTTGGTGCGGCCTGGGGACCAGCAGCCCCGTGCCCTGGAGGCCCTGAACCGAGGCTTAAATCTTTCTCGTATTCTGCGTACTGCCCTGCCTGCCTGGCACAAGTCTATTGTGTCTTTCCGGCAGCTTCGGGAGGAGGTGCTAGGAGAACTGTCAAATGTGGAGCAGGCAGCTGGCATCCGCTGGAACCGCTTCCCAGACCTCAATCGTCTCTTGAAGGGACATCGGAAGGGTGAGCTGACAGTCTTCACAGGTGAGCCCTTGTTGGGAAATCACTACTTGGGGTAAGAGGCAAAGGATCAGGTGACAAAAGCATGTGGGTTTGGGCCATGGCAAATGTTAAAGAGGAGGTTTCTCCCAACTTTGAAGCCCTTGCTCCTGGTCGTGGTTTTAAGGGTAGAACTTTCCTCCCTCACCCAGGTCTGTGTTCAACCCCCCTGCAGGGCCAACTGGCAGTGGAAAGACGACATTCATCAGTGAGTATGCCCTGGATTTGTGTACCCAGGGGGTAAACACACTCTGGGGTAGCTTTGAGATCAGCAACGTGAGACTAGCCCGGGTCATGCTGACACAGTTCGCTATAGGGCGGCTAGAAGAGCAACTGGACAAATACGACGAGTGGGCAGACCGCTTTGAGGACTTGCCTCTCTATTTCATGACTTTTCATGGGCAGCAGAGCATCAGGTAAGATTCCAAGGCCTAGGGCTTTCAAAGAATGGAAGGGCAGGAGAAGAGATCCCAACAGAATTTTCAGGAATGTTGGCTTTTTGCTGGGATGGTTTAAAGAGACTACTTATAATTGACTCTTGAATTCATTGCCTTTTCCTCTTCCCAGGACTGTAATAGACACAATGCAACATGCAGTATACGTCTATGACATTTGTCATGTGGTCATCGACAATTTGCAGTTCATGATGGGGCATGAGCAGCTGTCCACAGACAGGTGACATCCTCTCGTCTCTCTGGAACCCACTTGAACACGCAGTTCTTCTCACGCAGTTGGCCCCTAGGCACGCACACTGTACTCTTTTGTTTTCTGACGTGTGTTTGCACACACCACCCCATATGTATTTCTCTCATAGAGGTGTGGGTTGTGGTAGTAGGAAGTAAGGATAGGGACCTAAGTGTGAGTCCTTGGGTAGAGTGGGTTGGGGCGGTTTGTGGGGAGATGTGAATGAATCAAGAGTATGGGTATGTTCTTGTTCTTCTCTCTGTCTGATAATGTCTTTACTTTGATGGGGTTGGGGTAGGATTGCAGCTCAAGACTACATCGTTGGGGCCTTTCGAAAGTTTGCAACAGACAATAGCTGCCATGTGACACTGGTCATTCATCCCCGGAAGGAGGATGATGATAAGGAACTGCAGACAGCATCAATTTTTGGTTCAGCCAAAGTAAGTGGCCTTTAGAGGAGCCCAAGCTTTGGAGAGTAGAGGGGACAGGTGTGACCAGGGATGGCCTTCATTCAGCCTTAAATCATCTTGACTGTCCACCTGCAAGAGGCAGGAGACAGCTGCCTCTGGGGCCATGACATGAGGAACACATGTGCTAGGAATATAAAGGCTGATAATAGTTGGTCCTTTGCCCTCACATCGGAGCTCACATCGTCCAGTGGGGAAAATAGTGAGACAGTGATTATAACTCAGTATAAGAGCTACAATAGGCAACACAGGTATTTGGGGAACAACGAAACATCTGAGTCAGCCTGGCACATCTGGAGAGACTTCCTTGCCCATTCGGGGAGAGGAGGTATCAAAAGAGGTTGGGTTGAGTTCTGGCAGCCAGTAAGTGTTAAATAATCGAATAAATGGGAGGGCTTTCTGGGCAGCAGGACCAACCTGATCCTGGAGCTTCCAGGGATATGCTGAGTGCCTATGACATGCTAGGCCTGGGCTGGGCACAGGGAATCCAGGGTGAGGAGCACAAACTATGCCACAAGGGAACAAACATGGAGCTAGGGAAGACAGTGACACACAAGTGCAAAGATGGTGGTTCTTTCTTTATGGGGATCAAGAATGGTCTCTGATGAAGTGTGACATTTAGACCGAGACCTGAACGATAAGAAGCTGGGGTTGAGTGGGGTGGTGAGCTGTGGAGGAGAAGTGTCACAAGCAGAGGAATCCGGGGCAGTGAGGTAGTCCAGGAACTGAAAGACAAGTGGCCCCAGGATCATGGTCAGTAGTTCAGGGAGCTTTGCCATTCTTCCCTGGACCTTCAGCCTTCCTTTCTGCTTCTCAATGCTCCTTCCTCCTTCTGCCCCCATCCCCCAGGCAAGCCAGGAAGCGGACAACGTTCTGATTCTACAGGACAGGAAGCTGGTAACTGGTCCAGGGAAACGGTATCTGCAGGTGTCCAAGAACCGCTTTGATGGAGACGTAGGTGTCTTCCCACTGGAATTTAACAAGAGCTCTCTTACCTTCTCCATACCACCAAAGAGCAAGGCTCGGCTCAAGAAGGTCAAGGATGACAATGGGCTAGTGACCAAAAAGCCTTCTTCTGGCAAAAAGGGGGCTGTGCCCCAGAACTCCGAGACTTGCTTGGGTCAGGCCCACCGCCCCTACCAGCCAGACCCCTCCAAGCCCTCAAGGTGAAGGCACTGCAGAGCTGGACACTGAAATGAGCCTGACAGAACAGGCTGGGACACAGACTTTCTTAGCCCTCTGCTAAGGCTACCTCTGTCCTGTGGTCCTAAGCTAGGAACCCTCCTCAGTAAGAGGGGCCTAACCTAGGGCAGAATTCCATACTGAGAGAATTCAACTTAACAGATATTTGAGAACCTCCAGTGTGCCATATACAGCACTGACAAGACAGGTGAGGTCCCTGCTTCTCTAGAACCCGCAGTCTGGTAAGGGAGACAAGAAAAATAATACAAAACATAGTTTCAAACAGCAAGATATACTATGAAGAAAAAACAGTAATGCAATAATGCTTACAGGTTAGTTTAAGGTCTGAATCGGTATCTCTAAGCAGAGGACCCTGGAGATGGGGCCTAAAGACCTAGGATTGAGCCATGTGAACATCTGGAGAAAGAGGGATCCAAGCAGAGGGAATATTAGACACAGGCCCTGTGGTGGGAATGAGCAAATTGAGTACAAAGCCCTGGGTTCAGGCCCCCTGAACCTGGAAGGGAATAGAGGACTTCTTGCCAAAACTCCAGCTTAGGTTTCTGGAGCCACAGGGTGATACGGTGGGTATCAGACTCTACTGCCCACTCTGGACCCTGCCATGTGGTGGCACTCGCTACCATTGGATCCTAGGTGCTTGGCCATGTAATATCAGGGCCACAAAGATGGAAGCTGGCTGGAGAAGAAAGCTGTGAACCCA